AAATGCTCAACTTGTATATGGTTGTCATTATGGCAAACCTCGGGAGGTGTCATTGTAAGTAACCCTAAAAATTACAGCATCAACTATTCTTTGGGATCCTGTGACTTTAATCAAAGCTATTCTGTAATTTTATTTAGATTAAATTATCCCTTCTTGTCTATCAAATTACATTGACTTTCCATATCAAATTTCAAGGGAGATAAATGTAACCCACCACCAAATCGTAGCCCTCTTCGTCCCTAAATCCCTCACCACCACCGTTGCCACCATCACCACAAAAGAAGTATATAGGTTTTGGTGGCGGCGGCAACATCCATGAGTGATTAAAGTGTGTATAACGGACGATATTGGAGAGAAGGAAAAAAAATAGTTTTTCTTCTCTTTTTTTAATTTTATTGATAAAGGTTAGAAATGTAATTTCATTACTCAATTTGGTCAATTTATAAGTCTAAAGGTAAATTTGTCAATTCAGATGTAGCATGCCATTATTGGGGTGTCTTTGTTACCTTTATCAATTTTTGAGGGTTATTATTGTTAAAAAAAGGCTCAACTTGTATATGGTTATCATTATGGCAAATCTCGGGAGGTGTCATTGTAAGTAACCCTAAAAATTACAGCATCAACTATTCTTTGGGATCCTGTGACTTTAATCAAAGCTATTCTGTAATTTTATTTAGATTAAATTATCCCTTCTTGTCTATCAAATTACATTGACTTTCCATATCAAATTTGTTAAGTTTATAATTATATTTTTGTCCTTATATATTTTATTGCAGTAAACTTGTCTTTCAAGTATAGAATTCAAATTTGCAACTTAAAAAAATTTCTGATCAGCATTTTTCATCATTAACCGTGTTGACTATTTACATACGAGAAGTCCATGTTATTTAAGTACAAATTTCCAGGGAGATAAATGTAATTTAACAGGAATGTTAATGTAATTTATCTGAAAAGGCTACTCATTAAACTGATGCCTTCCAAAGAGAGCATGAAGAAAGAAACTCAATCAAATGATGATCTAATAATTGAGGTGTGGGATCAGAATACAATAGAATTACTCTGTTACTACAACTTCAACCAAACTGCATCCACCTTTGCTAAGCTCTTTATTTAAAAATATATTTTCCTAGGCTAATTATTGAGTTAGTTACTAGGAAAACAAATTCAAAGTCGAAGAAGCATTTATCAAAATCAAATGGAAAAGACAAGCCCATATATGAGAGAGAGAGGCCCAAGCCCGTCCCACTTTAACTCGATTCTAAAATTTCAAACTTGGTTTATCTTCTACCGTTCACTTATTTGCAGAAACTTTATAAATGGAGGACCTTCCAAAGAACAATTACTTATTCTTATAGACTCCATAGGCTTGCTCCATAAATATTGGGAGTATGAGAAGTTAATACATTTGGATATTACTTAGTGGCCTAATTGATAGAGGGAGCTGAGTGTCGTGTCCGACTCTCCCTTCCCCCTTAGTTTGCCAAGAGAAAAAAAATAAATAAATAAATACATTCATATATATATATTGGGCAAGTACACTGTACACATTCATCATATACCAAGTAGTTAAAGTAGTTAGCTAATGCACGACAAAACTGTTAAGTTGTTCAGAAGGTTTTCATGGGCTGGAGAGAGAGATTTAAACTGTTACGAATGGCAGGCCTGGAATAAGCCCAGCAGTATACAGCTAGTTGGCCCAGTTTCCGTTCTTCAAGTGTTATGGGCCAACACTGCTTAGTCAGAATGATGATTTTTTTCTTTTTTCTTTTTTCTTTTTTCTTTTTATTCCTTTTCAATACTCTCCACAGTGCTCAGTAACAATGATTTTTTTTTTTCTTTAATTTCATTTAATTCAATAACAAAAAAAAGGAGCAACACAATAGATGATGGTGCATGAATGGGAATGGGTAATTGAGCAAACTCGCAGCTTCACGAGCATTAGCGTTAGAGATTGAGCCATCACAACTATATTAGTATCCAAATTAAATTCCGACATCTTCAAATTGAAATGAAACAATTTTCATGTGAATTTTAAAATAGAACTTACTTCATTTGAAAAAATATGTATGTTTTTGGAAACGAAAGTTTCAACTAATTAGTAAGGATAGAAAACTATACTTAGTGTATCAAATATTTGATGGTCATATTTTTTAGTCCTCCCAAACTTTGGAATTAACTAGTATTATTACTTCCTCTTTTTCAAAATGAAAGATAAAACTTTTAAATTTGTTTTTTTTTTTAAATAAAAATAAAAATAAAAATAAAAATAAAAATAGAGATGGGGCTGAAATTGGCATGATAATTTGTGATAAAACTAGTGGAAGTCGTGTCCTAGATAATAGTAGCAACATTATTAAAGCTCACTAGGTTTGATTGGGGGGGGGAGTAAGAATTCACATCACAGATATGGTGCCAACTGCCAAACATTCGGATGGGGCAGCAAAAAGAAACTCGTAATGATTGCTGCGTGTGCACGCAATATTTTAATAATGCAACTGAGAAAAGTGGTGAGTAGCAGCAGCGGCGCAGCGCTCGACAACCAGCACGCCAGGAGGCAGACGCCAGACCACGTCCCTTCCCCTTCCCCTTCCCCGACATATACCATCCCCGCGTGACTCCACTTTTCGCCTCCCCCAACAACTTATTCAACCCACACCAAACCCCCTTCTCTCTCTCTCTCTCTCTCTCTCTCTCTCCATATATATATATATATATATATATATATAATTATACACACATGTGCATACATGCATACATGTCACTGCCCCCCTCTAGTCTCAATCAATATGGGATAGGGATGTACAACATTGTCCATTTTTGTCAGCCTCCTCCAACCACTCTCCCCAAGATTCCACACCCCCTCTCTCTCTCTCTCTCTCTCACTGTAATAAAGCTATGGTATTCTCTTACTTGCCTTGAATACTTTGAGTTTTACCCTGGATATAATATGTCAGTGTGTGAATTGGTATTGATTTAAGAATATTTTAAAATATTTTTTTTTTAATTTTATAATGACAATGGGGACTAATTTCTACTGCCATGAGTCACGACGTAACATCTATTTCATTCAAAGACTAAATGGTGTCATTATTTGTGACCCTTTACGTTTTTTAAATTTTCCTTAATTCTCTTTATAGGTAATAGATGTCAAGTCATGCTTAATTAATTGTCTATTTTCTTTTTCCCAAATGACGTGTGTTACACACTCATTTCTAACGTGGTTAGCACTAAGAGATCCATGTTAGATATGCTTTTTTTGCTGATGTACGTGTGTAATGGAGATGATGTCATAAATGACTCCAATGCAGCATTTTCAAGCAACTAAAATGAGTTCGGAACTACTACGTACTTATTTTAAGATAGGAAGGGTAAGCTGTGTTAACAAAGAGAGTATGTACAAACAAGCTACTAAAGAGGGAGCAAACAAAGAAACAACATTACAACAGGAATGGCAAAACAAGGAACGTACATACCTAAACAAAGCACGTATGTATGCAAACAAGGCATGTTAAAAGAGTAGAGCAAGAAACTAAACTAAATAACAAGGCGATGGATCACAAGACATCTATTACCAAACAAACTCAGCAAAACAAAAGCGTGCATCAACCATCTCCATCGTGTTTTAACCAAATTTCTTTCAATTTTAAGTCCGAGACTAATTCGATACTCCAAACACAACATTAAGTTTTTGATTAAGAGAAGTCTGCTTCTTATAGATTCTCTTATCACCTACATGATTGGCATTGCTTTAGCATTCCTTTGAAACCAAATGGTATAGACGGATGAACAAGAGGGATATATCCTGTCCACTCCTCCTAAATGGTTAAATAGCGTACTATATTTACGTTCTCACGACAAAATGTAACATAGTTCAATACTAATGAAGCGTAGTTATTGTATAAGCTATATAAATGATTGCACAAGTGATATAAAGGTACAAGACAAATCACATAATGGGGCGACACAGGAGATGACCCAAATTCGTAGATTGATGTAGTTAAAGTTTTAACAACTGCAGAAATCACTCATATATGTGTTTCTCCTTCTCATTTTCCAATTTTCTTTTTTATGGTTACTATTATTTGCGGGGAAGATCCATGTTAAAAATCTCTAGCTAGTCTTTTGTTTAGATAATGACACCACCCGACAATCTTAAACAAACTCAATTATGCAGAGATAAGAATATAAGAAAGTTATAACTGGATCGAACAATGGAAAAAGAACAGATAATAAGTTACATGATTACCTTTTTAATTGAACACTTTTTGCTGGGTCAAAATAATCATCTTGGCTATTTTACAATTTAATGCTTATCTTTTTCTTCCCTTGGAAAAAGGTCTCACTTTCACAGTGTATATCGCATAACTTTGACGTGTATTTTTGACCAAATTACTATGATAGTGTGTTCTCACGTTGTAAACAAACAAAACAAGCAGGTACGTGATTAACAAAAAAAAAAAAATGGCTTTAACATACAATTATGGCATGAAAAGTGCTAGCTAGGTTTTCTCCACTCAAAAAATAATAAACTCTGATGTGTTCCACTCCTGAACTACTTACCATATTCACATGGCAATTTTTGCCTATTCCATTGACCTTGGTTTTTTTTTTTTTTTTTTTCCAGTAAAGATTGCATTTTTTACCCTTTAAATATTACATATCGACTCTGGGAGAGTGTTTTTCTTGTGTGTCTTTGCATATTTCCAAATTCTCAGTTCACAAAACCAATTTAACCAACAAATTAACCAAAAGTTCCTGTCATTCATACAACTTTATTGTCTCCCCAACAGTGTCTCCAAACCACAATAACTCCACTTCTACAACACCTCAAATCTGACTTTCATTGAGAAAACTAAAACCTCTCTGAAACCCTAATAACGTACTCCTAACTTCACCATTCAAATTCTCTACTTTTCCATTCAAATAACCTAAAATCACTGCATGTTCCGACCCAAAGAAGCTTAACTATTCAGGTTCAATGATTCATGAGATTCTAATGCTTAAGAAAAACTCAAAGAAGCATTTGATTTTTACAATCAGCCAATGCCCACAACAAATATTATTGCATTTTGAATTATTCATTGAACAACACAAATACAACACAAACCAACCCACATATGAAAATGGAGCTAAAATTGTGAGAGGGAGGGTCCTGACCTAAGAACTCGTCGCCTTTTAGTCTGCCCACCAAAATCAGAACCCAAAGGCTGGACTACTGATTTTAATGCATCTTTTAAGAAATGAACCAATTCGTCACTGTTTTCTTTATCTCCGGCGACGATCAAAATGTTCCTGATTCTCCCTCCAAGGGTCACCATCTCTGCTCGGAGAGGATTCAGACGGAGCGATTTCAGTGTTTGAATTAGCTCAGGAATGAGATCAGATCGGTCTTCACAGCACCAGGATGCTCTAATCAATAATCTTCCGTCACTCAGACAATCACCGGAGGAGGAGACTGTGATTTCGTCCGTCTCGGAAGGGAAGGTTTCAAGTTGAATGGTCTCTGAGCTCTGCTTCTTTAACTCTTTCACTCGTTGGATCACCTTTGCCAGCAGTGTAGCTTTGTCTGTCTAAAAAGGACAAAATAATGGAATAGAAACTTAGAACCCTAATTTAGAAAAAGTTTCATAACTTTCCCAAATTTTTATTTTTATTTTTTTAAAAAAAACCTAGAAACCACAAAGGTTTTTGTTCTCTTTCTTTGTCAGCTTACTCTGCTCAGAATATTTGGGTTCAAAAGCTTCAAAAAAACACCTTTGAATCTACAATTCAGAAACTGAATCCAAAAAAGAAAGCTATTGAGTGATTCTCTGTAATTTCTATTATTCTCACAGTTTCACAACAACTTAATTAAATATATATGTATATTACATGTAAACATACAGATATAATCTCGATTTTCTGTCAAATTAAAGATCTTTACACATGAAATCTTGTAATTTAAGAAATTTTAACAAATGAAGCATCACAACTCAGCTCAGTCAAAATTTTGAAAGCTACTATATATAGAGAGATGCCTAGAAACCATAAAGGTTTTATTCTTTTCTTTTTCAGCTTTACAGACTCAGAATTTGAATCCAAATGCTTCAAAAAAACACCTTTCAATCTATATAATTCAGACATTGAATTTTTCATGTTGCATTTGACAGCATAGAATCTAAATTTTGGAATTAGAATCAGAGGAAAGTTAACTTAAGATTTGAACTAAGATGCTCCAAAATTCAAATTCCAAAAATTAGCAGAATGAGTGATTCTCTGTCTTATTCATACAGCTTCGATATATACATATAGATACATATACACATCCATGAATATATATATATTTGTAATTCTTGATTTTTCTGTAAAAGCATACACATGAAATCATGTAACTTCAAAAATTTAGACCAATGAAACATCAAAATAGACTCAAGTCAAGATTTTCATTGCTAGTGTAAAATATAAGGTGTGTGTATATGTATATGTAGAGAGAGTACTCTGGAATTGCAGGGGAGAAGGCTTCTTAGTCTATCAAGATGCGAATTGATTCTCTCTCTACGACGCTTCTCTGCCTCTTTATGATTCTTTGAGGCAGCGAGAGCTCGGGCTTCTGGCGTATCCGTAATTCCGGACGACTCCCAAGGGTAAAATGAGGAACTACAAAAGCTTTGGACCGCCGGAAATTCACAATTCTGTTGAAATCCGTACTTTCCAACGTCCATCACAGTTTCTCCGGCAAAGAACCGGTGGAATTCTGAACCTTCCGGCAAATTTCCTGGTTGCATGTTTTGGTGGTTTATTTTTTAGCTAGGGTTTGCTGCGAGTTTTGTAGTCGTTTCGGACATAAAAGTGTCGCAATTTTTTCTCGATTAATTGGCCTTTCTTTTATCTCTCGATTAATTGGCCTTTTCAGTGATAATATTGTAATGCCTTTTCATATTTCGCAATGTTAACGAAATTATACATATATATATATATGTATATGTATATGTATATGTATATGTATATGTATGTATATGTATATGATTAATGCACAAAGTGGACTCATTTACAACTTACAAGGTTCCAAATCCCCCCCAAATAATGGCATCTATGTATTAACCAGTCCTTTTTGTATTAATTACTTAGAAAATTTTAATTTAATATTTTCCTTAAAAATATCATTGGTGTTGTTTTGAAGCAAAAAATCAAATGTCATTAAATAATAATTTAATGTTCGAATTTGACAGTTTACCGAATTTGATTTATCTGCGTTGGTGGCTCATCATACGATGTCATCATAACGTCATACGATAAAATTCACCATCCTTCTCGTATAAATTAAATTCAATAATTGTCGAATTTGGTTTCTAAATATTATTTGGTGTCATTTTAGACCAAAAATAAAGTGATTTGTTATTAAAAGTTGTTTGAGCAATTGTGAATAGAGACACTCTCTCATGGAATAGATATTCGGTTTGCCGAGTGTACTTACTCATCGAGTGATACATATACAACACATGTCCATGCATGCACGACACATGCGACTCAAATAAGCCCGGTCCATGGCCATTTGGTGTCGTTTTAGACCAAAAATAAAAGTGATTTGCTGTTTAAAGTCGCTTGAGCAATTGTGAATAAGCACTCTCTCATGGAATAGATATTTAGTGCACCGGCTCATTTGAGTCATATATGTATAATACGCGTGCACAACACATATGGTTCAGATAAGCCCGATACACTATCATTTGGTGTCGTTTTAGACCAAAAATAAAAGTGGTTTGCTATCTAAAATTGTTTGAGCAATTCTGAACAGACATTCTTTCATAGAAGAGATATTTGGTGCGTCGGGGGCATAATACACTAGCTCATTCAAATTGTACATGTACAACACGCGTCACGCTGCATCCAATACCTTCTCCTCTCTCATGAGTCATATAATTAGCCACGGAATCATTCCTATGTTTTTCTAAAGCGCGATAGCTCATTACCCGATATCTCACATGGAAGAGTGTCTATCCACGCAGTTTTAAATGGAGGTAAGTACATGAATAGTTACAATTGGACTTGATGCCTTTAACAACATTCTTAAGCTCGTTAAATATATATATATTAACAACATTCACACACTTCTTAATTATTTGTATCAAGTGAACTTAGAATCTTAAACATGATAATTCATGAGATATCACGATTAAATTATTATTTACTTAAAAATTCAGTTGAACTTACAACATTTTTTAACTTCTCTCATTAGATTCATGAACATATCTCTAAAAAAAAAAATAATAAAAATAAAAATAATAAAAATAAAAAATTGTGACTAAGCAAGAATTATGCACATTCATGAATGAACAATAAATAACTTTAAATTTATAAAATAATATATATATATATATATATATATAAGCTAAAATTAAGTCCAAATAAATTTTTCTATTAAAATTATGGGAAAAAAATAGAATAAGAAAAATCATCACTAAAAACTAATAAATACAACAAATTAAAAGTATAGTCAGATTAGACTTTTAACATAAAATATAATAAATTGGGGGTAATTTATATGCGTGGGTCAGCCAGCCCTTCGACAGTCCAAACGAAAACTTGTGTGTTTGAATAGGTAGGAGAGAAAAGAAATGAAATGACAGTATTAGTATTTGTTTTTTTTTCATAAATAAGACAATATTAGTTAGGAGAGAAAAGAAAAGAAACGATAATAATAATTTCTATTCATGTTTGGATAGATAGAAATGAAATGAAATAATAGTATTCTTATTTGGATATGATAGAGGGGAGAAAAGAAGAGAAATGATATTATCATGTCCTTTAAAATAGATGGGATATGAGTGGAATAATAATTTTCTCCTTTTAATTGTTGAGGGCGCGCAGTTTCCAAATTATTACTCAAACACTATCATTTCTCTCCCTATTCTCATTTTTTGAGGGATAGAAAATGAGAGATAACTATCTTTCCCCATCCTTTATTTTCTCTCATTTTAGCCAACCCAATTTACACTATCCTTTATTTTCTTTTTTGTCACTGTCCCTCCAAATTTCTCAATACAAACATTATTTGAGAATGAACTCAAATTAGTTCTACATAAAAAAAAATTATTAGGCCTTTTGATAGATAATAATTTTATCTTATTAACAATGCTTTTAAACTCTAACTTGAGAATGAACTCAAATTTTTTAAACTAAAAAATAAATAAAAAATAAAAAAAAATTATTAGGCCTTTTGATAGATAATAATTTTATCTTATTAATAATGCTTTTAAACTCTAACTTGAAAATGAACTCAAATTTTTTAAACTAAAAAATCACTAAACCAGACAAAGAATTAGTGAACCTAGAGTTTACGGCCAAACTGGATGACGCAAGGATGGTGGAAAGTGGTGGGTGGGGATCAAACAGCAAAATTAAGGCATTGGGTCTGGAGACTCCTCCAATATGGGTCCAAAAAGATAGTATCTATGGGCTTCAGCTCCAGGTTTTGTGCTTTAAAGCCTGGACCATGGTTTTTAACAACCTCAGCCCAAAATTGAATTCTTAATGGTATAGCTTGGCTGGTGCTCCTGAATTTCTTTTTTTCTTTTTCTTTTTTATTATTAATTTTAAATGGATCCTCACCTCCCTCAAAAAATTTGTGATATGTGTGTGTCAGCATTCAATATATATACATATATATATATATATATATATATAGAGTGCAAAAAACCTCCCTTTATTATTGATATAGTGCAAAATTGTCTGCAAAACACCTCTATGCAATATTTGGTGCAAATAACTCCCGGAGACTTAAAATAACAATAATACCCTCATTTCAATAGAATAAGTTAATAAGTATAAAAACAGGCCATGTAAACTGATCATTTTATCCAATTTGTGTAAGAGTATGCTTGTTTGGGATAAAAATAAAATAAACCTCGTGTTTTATAAATACTTACAGTTTATTTGTTTGGGATAAAAAAATTATATATTTTGTAAATTAAGCTGAAAAACTATATATTTTTTTATATATATAAAAATAAGTTTTATTCAAATTTTTAAAAATATTATGAATCTAAATATAGTCATTAATATAATGACAATCTATAGTCATTACTTAATAAAATTTGATTTTTTTCTCATCAATTATATATATATAAGTTACATTTAATGTTTAAAACTTATTAAAAATGTATTATGAAATATTTGAGAAGTATCGTATACGTAGTCGAAGTATTGGATACGTGTTAAAAATAAATAAATAAATAAATAAATATATAAATATATATATTAAAAATATGGATACATTTTAAAAGTATCGAACACGAATCTGTAAGTATTGATATTCAATACGTATCTGATCTGATACGAATACGTCATTCTTGTAGAAATATTAGTACTTTAATCCCTTTCCCATTCTTTTCACTAATTTTTTTATATTATTTTGGTTTAAAGATTTTTGTCACCAATTTGTAAGTAAACATAACAGTTATTATACACCGTAAATATACATTCTAACAACATGTGATATCTCCTGAATTAGTATTAAATATGCCATCAAGTTACAAAATCTTATTTGCTAATTTCAGATTAAGACTTTTAATATATTTAACGTGATTAGGAAATAGTTATAAGGTGTTATTTAAACATGAATTATGACAGTTTAATTAAAAGAAACATATACTTTGTGGTCACATTTGATTTTTAACTATGGATTCCCAATGTGAATATCTAGCTTTACAACAGCTTAATAATTCTATGATGAGCGAAGAGTTTTTAATCCAAATTGAGTTGAATCTAATTCCACTTGATAAAAGAAATAATTAAATTACATATAATTTACCCTTGGAAAATTAACAAAAGCTAACATAAATATAACCATTACCTTGATTTAATGTGCCTACCAAATCTAGGAAGCAACAAAATGCAAATTATTTAAGGTCATTTTTTTTTTTTTTTTCTATTTATCATACATGTTTTTATTTTATTTTATTTATTATTATTATTATTTTTACGCAGTTGGTCTCAAACTCAAATAAATAAGAGGGTTATGCATACAACCTTTTGTAAAACATTTGTCAACATGAATCTCACCAATGGAACAAAAAAATAAAAAGGAAAAGCAGTAGTTATGGAGAGAGAGAGAGAGAGAGAGCATTCATGAGGAAATGAGTTGGGGGGAGGGGTATTATGCACATTATGTGAAAGGCAAAATAGAACCACAAAAAGGTAAAATCAGATTTTTAGATTTATTTTTTGTTTAAAGTGATCAGAGGGACTTATTTGTACATTTTTTTTAATATTATGGACTGAAATGCACTTTTTCAAAAAGGAAATAAGGACTTATCATGCACATAACCTATATTACATGAAAATTTTTGGCACTTAACCCTATATAGAATAATGAAAATAAAAAAACCTACCCAACTATCAATATTCTTTGCTTTATAAGAATGATAATACATTTGCCGAAGACTATGAAAAATTATGAGATAATCCTTATCCATTTAACACTTGATAGACTAATCTAATAAAAGTTATGTTGGAAACGGCATTAGAAAACGCAAACTTTGGAAGGATTTTTAAAAAGATTCCGCTAAGAATTTTTTACGAATCTATTGATGAGCGCGTTCCTCTCTGCGAGGAGATGAACGTGGTATATTTATTTTCTCAAATCCGTTTCCGGGTGAATGAGAAATTGGCTCAAAAGTAAGTGATTTATAAAGCCTAAATGGGTGTGAATAAAGTGGGAAATGCTTGTCCCACATCGAAAAAGTAGCAAAGCAACCTTGAGTATATATATGTCTAGTATGGGATTTGGGTTTGGGCCCAAGGGCACCCAAGTTTTTAAGAGGGGGAGGACCTAGGCTAGCCTGGATCCGAACCAACTACCACACGCGCGCCGCCCGCCCGGTCCGAGCTAGGGCGGGGCTTGATTGTGAAATGGGTTTAACTTTTTACCCAAAGTTGGGATGGGCCTGTGTGGTTGTAATTTTATTTTGTTGCTGGACTTATCAAAATGGGCCTGTTTACTGGGCTGAATTAATGGCCGAGTTGGATTATTTGCTTGCTGGACTGGACGAAATTAAAGGGCTGGGCTGGATCAGAATTAAAAGGATTCAGTTTTAAATTTTGAACCAAGAGTTGCACCCCTTACAAATTAAAAACCACCAATAGTTTTTTAATTCTGATTGGTCAACAATGGTTGCACCCATTCAGAATAGGCACCAACAAGCCTATAAATACCCATCATTGGGTTCATTTCAATACACACCAATTTCAGAAATCTCTTCTCTTCTTCTGAATTTCTTCTTCTAATTCTTCTTTGTTTGGTTCAGCCACTGGTTTGGGTTCAACCTAAACTGGTTTGGATTGGGTTCGAACCTTGGTTTCCAAGTTTAGGTTCAATCTTGGTCTCCGAGTTAGGGTTCAATCCTGGTCTCCGAGTCTGAGTTCATCAGAGAGTACTACACCGAGCCGGTTCGCCTATTCCATTGGTTTGAAGTGCTACTACCAAAGGAAGGAAAGTCGTTGTATCCTGGGAGATAGACGCCGAAGAGTCCGTTAGCACCGTAGCGGGGCGTATCTGTCTTAAGGCTATAGAATTAAATTCTAGCCTCGACTTTATCAGGTTCTTTTATAGTTTTATTTTCTTGATATTAAACTATATAAATATATATATATAGATTATTATAATAAATATTATATTTACAAATAATATTTAAATAAATTATACTATAGTATATGATACATTATTTTCTTTTTAGATCAACAAGTTAATCTTAAGATTTCTGTGTAATATATTAATACACTCTTGTGCTGTTATTTTTTCACCCCTATAGTATAAAATTAAATAGTTTATCAAGTATCAATGGTTCAGGATAATCTAATAATTTCTTCGATGCTATAACTAAAAATTTTAATCGAAAAGTCCTTGGACGCAATGTAAGTGTGTACAATGGCTTTCCACTTTAGTGATATTTACTCCTTATATGAAATCATTTATCTAGATTTCACGCATACATAAACATACATATATGTATTATGAATAATTTTGTTTGTGTAGACACACACATTATAAGTACAATCTTTCATGTGATTTTCCAACTACAACAAACATTATAAAACTTAAACGTGAGGTGTGGATCATCCAACATCCAAAGTAGGCTTCTACTTTTACCAAGAAACAAAAGGCAAAAACCAAACAAAAACTTTAAAGGGTGGATAGTGACTAAGAATCGCATGTGATGCACATAGTTAGAACTTAGAAAGGTCACCACCAAAAAAAAGGAGGACTAGCTGGTTTTAATCATTCCCTTCACAAGCTTATTTGCTTTTAATGGTACGGTCATGTTTCTTGGTTCAATAAATAATGGGAAAAGCAATTGTAAAAGCCCTTAATTTTACTAACCAAAACCAAAAGTTGTCTTTTTTTTATAGAATAATTTAATCAAAAGTTGTCTGCTTTGATTGAGATTGGGGTCGATTAATTAGACTAATTAAAAAGCCTTAATCACTATACTCGACAACTTTTGTGGGTCGTGAGTGAAAAGCAGAATTGTTTCATATCAAATTCTACTTTTTTACACACACATTCTCTCTCTCTCTCTATATATGTATTTGTAATTGTCTGCTCAAAGATTAAAGACCATGCTTTACCTGAAAATGCGGATGACTTTTGGTAAATTGAAATGATGGAAAGTAATTGTTTTGCCAAACCTAGTTAGTGATATCAGATGAAAGAAATCCCATCACATGTACCAAAAATATGAAGTTACTTAAGAGTTGGTAAATCACTCTGGTATTTTAAAATCATTTTTCGGACTAAATATGAATTTGTACTTTAAATGTTACTTGTATTACGGTTGGGGCATCATTTCAAAAAATTTGAATTAAATTTTTTTTTAAATTTTATTGTGAAGATATCAATCCAATACTCTCAAGAGATCAAACTTAATATGAAAAAAATATTAAATATTCTAAGAGTATAATATCCTAAACACTGAAAATCGTTGAATCATGGATGAGGTAATAGACCTCATCACATTCAAAGCATAGAAAGACCCGATCTACCATACCCCAAGTATTTTTTTTTACTTTCTTATCAAAATGGTCATTAGTTCTCTCCAAGATGATATGCTTGCCTCTTTTTTTTTTAAGTAAATGTATGAACTGCTGATCTAATGAGGCAATAATGAAGGTAGTCAATGAAATCTATACAGCTCTCCGTTATTTATATACCTAGACTGGGACAATAACAAAAAAAATGTCAGTGTACAATCTGAATAGAGGAACAGTGTTGCACAAATTGCCAAACACTGCATTGTTGACACATTTGCAGAAAAATAGACCATAATATATGCTTTAGGAAAACTCATAAATGGACTTATTTCAATCTATTTAGAGACAGATTTACAAAGAGAGGCAAGAACCCATCCTTTCAAAAACCTGTCCAATTTAGTTATAAAAATAAATGTAAATATTGAACTACAATTTATTATTATTATATTTCATGATTTTTTTAGATTAAGTATGAAATTAAGAAAAATTCTGATTCATTGTCAAAAAAATATATACATTGAATTTTTCTGAAAAGTATCTTCTGATTCCCTTAGAATTAGATTTTTTTTTTTCTTTCAAATTTATGCATACCAGTACAACCAAACCCCCGCGCCATCAATCATCGTACCACATTATTCTACACATATAAATTCCAACATAAAAAGTAGCAAGATTAAAGACTGACTAAAAGGATTCATGCTTTGTTACCAAACCCTAAAAGGCTGAAAACAAATGAACACAACAGCCACTAATTTGGTTGCTTTGATTTTGAAAGTTTGTGTGCATAGAGATTCCATTTTAGTTTTCTCTTTTTAATGGGGAAATTCCATTTAGGTAAAAATATATTTCACCTCTTGAAAGTTGAAAAAGGTGAAAGAATAGTAGTATATACCAGATAAAAAAAAAAAATAAAAAAAAAAGCTAGCTAGCTTCACTTTTTTCATCAAAAGAACAAAAAGCATGCAAAATAGCACAAGGTTCAGAAAAAGAAACACAAATTCTAGCTGCTGTTGCCACTGATCATTTTCTCAATTCTGATTTCTTCTCCTTTCTATCAGCCTTTTTGTCAAGAGGCTAGGAACTGTCACCCACTTCTTTCTCTCTATCATATATCTCTTTTTTCTTCCGAGATTCTATGTTCTGTTAGAAGCCAAAAAAGGGTCAGATTTGTTGTAAATAATCTAGCCTCTGTAGCTGTACTGCTTTCACCTTCAAAGCCCCAGCAAAATGTAGTAAACTAGAGTAATAGGTAGAGCAATTAACATCCCAAATATCACCCTGCAATCAATCAATAAATAAATAAATAAAATAATTTTTTAAAAAAATTCATAGTAGTGACAACAATGTAGCATTAATGCATGCGTAATCTTTTTTTTTTTTTTTTTTTAGGTAATCGGGACTTTGCCCTAACTAAATCCCAGGCACTTCTACATGATGCATATATTCACACATAACAGAAGCTCAACAGGATCACTAGCATGCTCAATGTATGAATGAGTGACATGCATGAAAACTTGGAACTAATGCAAGTATATGGAAAATGATACATACTAACTATTTATACACTTATATTTATCGAATATGCATTCAACAAAAAATGAAATAAGATAGGAATGTTGTGCCAAACCCAGTGCTTAATATGTCAGGATGAACATTATATTCCTTAGCAAAGACAAAAGGGACAATTCCTTGTGGAAGAGCTGCCTGAAAATTTAAGCAACAATATGTATCAAAATCACCCACTTAACAAAGAAAAACATGCAAAGGAAGATTTAGTAATGGCATGTGATTCTTATGTATCTACTCCTTTTACCTGAACAATTGCAATGTGCAGCAGAACACCGCGCAGTCCAACGGCAATTGAGGCAGCAGCCATGACTGCAGGTCCTGTGAGGAACCGAACAGCCATGGAGAAGGTAGCAATTGAGTTCCCACAAGCGATGATTTTTGGCTGTAACGCCATGAACAAACCTGCAATCCCACACGAGCATTATTTTAAGAACTGCAAATCCACTCCTCCTCTAGTTTCCCTCAGCCAATTATTTTATAGGGTTTGATATGAACATACCAAGACTAAACATGGCCATTCCAAGACCAGCATCTGATAGAATGGATATTGATTTGGCTACTATTGCAGGCATGACAATGTTCCACCTGAAAATATAATTATATTAATGATGAGACGCTTTGATTTTAGTATAGAATGGGATGCTTTAATTCGATAGAGTGATTTTGATTTTGCATACTTGTATGAAACCAAAGACCAGGTGATGCCAAAAAGGCTGGAATAAGTATTTGGATTCCTAATGAGTTTTCTCCACACCATTATCAGAATGAGTCTAGTCATGACACTGGCAGGCGGCATGGCATTCGCCTTGGATTCCCCGAGACCACCAGCCTTGGGGTTCAGCTCAGCCGTGGAGCTCGAACCAAGCTTGGAGAGAACCGGCCCTCCCCGGTCAGCCACATTAGAAGCCAGTTTGTTTCCAAAACTGAACTGATCATCTCTACCAAATTCATCATAATCTAAACACCATACATAAATTGGATCATTAACTATATTAACAGACATAAGAAATGACATTATGACAATAATGGAAGCATACATATCACCATAGAAGACAAATAGAATAAGACTAAATGTATAAGGAATCTGGCATTAAATTCAAGAAGCCCACACTAGGGGGAGGATTAAGGGAGTGGTTTGGGTAAAGACAAACAAAACCCACTCACCTATAAACAGATAAAAGAAACTAAAATCCAAAAGCAGATTCAACAAGACAAATATAGTAGCACAAAAAAGCAGAAAAACATGTATGTGATTTAACACAATCATATATAATTGAAAAAAAAACACTTAAGATGACAAGTAACAACCAAAACAATCAAACTCATGATTTAACAGTTTCAAAGTTGTTCAAACCTTTTGGGTTAGCCACTCCACTAAGATCATTCCCATATTCACCTCCCCTGAAGACGTGAATGCCTCCTTCGGACACCGGCGAAGCACTCGAGCTCCAAACAAACATATGAAGATCTTTCCCACCCTCTGTCCCATTCGCCTTCTTCTTCACCCCCGGCCCGGCCACCGGAGAGAAAATTCCAGCACTTGGAGGTGCAGGGTACCCTGAACTCCCCTGCCCATAAACCCCATTAGCCCTCAAATGATTCCCCAACCCACCACCAATTCCACTCTCCTCGTCAACACCCATGTTCCCAAAATTGGACTGCCTAGGACTCACATTGCTCACATTCTTCCCATTCACCATTGAATAGAAATCAGTGTGGTTAAAGCTTGAGCCCCTCGGTGTAGGGTTTCTCGACGATTGTAGAGAGTAAATCTCTGCATTCGTCAAGTTGGAAGGTCTGGGTGTCAAAGAAACACCAGAATTAGGCCCATGGGACCTCCTAGAGAAGATTTCAGATCGAGAGCTGGTGGATTTTCTCACAGTGACATGAAGCTTTCCATCTTCCCCGACCTCAGCCTCAGTCTGCAATGGCTCTTTACCATCCAAAGAGATGATATCAGAATCAACTCTGAATGATATGATAGAACCAGCAGTGTCTGGAAACTGTTCAGCAATGAGAAGCCTAGCTCCTCTGTACTCAAACAAGAACAACATCAGAGTGTACCATATGATGCATTGGAGGACAACTATTTGAACCATTAGGGTTCCTGAGTCGTCCCCATACATGCCCTTCAACAAAGGGATCCCCATGACAAGAGTGTTGGGGAGTGTAGAGAGAGAAAACAGTGTGATGGACCATTCAAGAGAGCCTCTTGAGCTGGTCCTTGACCAGATGGCTAGGACAACAAGGACTATGATTTTCTGAAGAGTGTCTGCTGCTATGAACCTGTAGTTCATCGCATATGGGTTGTTTTGTGAGATGAAGTGGAAGGAAAGAAGAGGCACTGCAAAGAGTGCTACAAATCGGTTGATGCCTGAACACTGATCAGGGCTGAAGATTTTCCACCATTTCACCGAACCATAGGCTAAGATCATGGCTACATAGAGTGGAACGACAGCTGTGAGAACATGGTACAGGTCTATGAGTTTGATCATCTTTTCTTGTTTTGAAAAGGGTTTTTGGGAGGTTTTGAGCAATACCCAGATCAGAAAATTGGTTGAATCAAAAAGAAAACCCAGATGCGGATTCACTGAAAAATGGAAGGGAAACTGAGATTTTCCGTCACTTTCCCTTCTGTTTTTCACAGGAAAGTGCAGTTTAGAGAACAACCAACACTACTAGTTCAATAATACACAAGAAAAACAGAGGGGCAGAGTATGAGTTAACCCATTCTCACAGTCTCTTTCTGCAATTATAGCTAACAGAGAGAGTGTGGATGAGCTGATTTCCGGCGAGTTTAAGAGAGAGAGAAAGAGTGGAAACAGGGAGAGGTTAGAGAGAGAGAGGTAGGGGGGAGGACAGAAGTGATGTGTTTTATTTATGGAGAAATTAATGGCAGACAAAGAAATAAAAGCTGTGTTCTTTTGAGAAGCTTTTTATAGTCTTTTGATGATGGGAAAGGGAAACCTCTTCTTACACACTTGCAGAGGTATATAGATATAGAAAGAGAGTCATCGATATATATAGAGAGAGAAAGGGAGGTATCTTACAGCGAAGGGGAAAACTCACTCTCTATGAAAGGGGAATGACCAAACAGCATCTGAGGAAAAAGAAACGATAGGAAGGAAAAGCAAAAAGAAAATGGAAATCAAACAACAGCGGGGTGAGCTGAGAGGCTCTAACAAGATTCTCTTCACTTTTTGCAATGAATTTAATTTATATAAATGTATATGGTCTTATAATGGCACATGCAAAAGAAGTGCTATACATTTTTTCCTTCCATTTGTCGGAATTTTTTTTTTAATTTTTTGTTTTTGTTTGTGGACCCACTTAGAGATTCTCTTTCCTGATTTTGTGAGAATACAACCTATGTAGAAATGGGAAAGTGACACATGGTTACTTTTGTCTGCAAGTGCTAGGTAAAGGTTTGCTGGTGATGGGGATAAATGGGTGTAGGCATAGTTTTAAGTTTTAAGTTTTAAGTTTTAAGGTTGAATTTGGATAATCTTAAGCTGACGAGTGCTCATAAGCTTAGGGTGATAGTCGTTAATTTCTACCGACCAGTGCTCCTAAGTTTACATTTGGCTATATTTATTCTATGATCTCAACTTCCCTTTAGGGTCTTCCAGAAATACAGTTTGAGAACGAGAATAGTAGCCCTATAGAAAGAGTGAGTGACTAAACAAGGTCGAATAACTTGGCGAATTTTAAAGACGTAAAATATTTTTAGTTAAAAAGTGTAAAACATTTTACGTATAAAATATATATTTTTTTATGCCAAAACAAAATGAGCCCTTAGACTTTTTTATTATTCTGATGTAAGTATTTTTCTTATTTTTTGGTGTTTGGTTATATAAAATAATTGCTAAAAGTTCTTACAGTAAAATATTTTACAAAACAATCACAGCCCAAGACTATTTTTATTTTGCAGTACAAATATTTTACATGTAAAATGATTTTTTAAATTTTTTCTAGTGTTTGGCTTGAATTCCAAAAAAAATAAAAAAAATAAATCTAATTTTTTTAAAAAAAATAATATTTGGTTACTTATCCAAAAAAAAACTTCGAAGGACCCAACCCACTACATACATCCCTCATCCCAAGCATATAAATCTTCTCTCTGTAAATTATACCATATATTCTTTCTTGCACAGTAGCGCTTAAAAAATGGATTTCTCTCCCTTTTTAATCTTTTTATTTCTCTTCAATATATCTTCAAAGTGACATCGATTCTCTATCAAAGAACCCCAATTATTGAATTTTAAAAGGCCATATTTCTTCTCACTTCATAGCTCAACCAATCGATTTTCACATTACTATAATCTTGATATTCGTTTTGGGGCTTCAAATAAAATTTAGATCAATCGTTGGCTATTTGGATCAAATTTAGATCTATTGTTGGCTATTTGGATTAGACCCTATAAAACGAGAATGGTAGCTACAGCATTCTGTCGGTTTTTGAGAAAGGTAAGAGATACTATGGATTTTTAGAGAGCGAGAGAAGGAACAACTAAGCAAGGTAAGAGATACTATGGATTTTTAAAGGAGTAAAACATTTTTACTTAAAAAGGTGTAAAACATTTTACGTGTAAATATTTAACATTGACAATATTTTACAAAAGAACTATTTTATATCAAAACAAAAGGAGCCTGAGGCTCTATTTCTTTTGATGTGAAATATTTTTCTTATTTTTTGGAATTTTTTTACATATAACAATTAGTAAAATTTATGAATTTTAAAGACTTAAAAACATTTTTACTTAAAAAGGTGTAAAACATTTTACAGGAAATTTTTTTACTAAGTATTTAATACAATCAAACACCAAAAAAATAATAAATATATATTTTTAAAATATTTTACGTCAAAACAAACACATCAGTCTATGACTCCTCTTTGTGTTGACTCAAAATATCAAAATATTTTATCCGTCAAACGTTTTTTTATTTTTATTTTCTGGTGTTGGGCTTGAATTCCAATATAGTTTTTTGCAATTTTTTTAAAATCGTACTTAATTACTTCAAAACTAACTTCCAAGGTCCAACTCGAGGGCCAACCGGCACACTACATACATACATCCACCCATCCCAAGGTTACCCTTTTATAATTTTCCGAAAAAAAAAAAAACAGGTTACCCTTTTATAAATCCCTCTCTGGAAATTATACCTTCTCTTATTTTTTGTACAGCAGCGCTTAAAAAATTATTTTCTCTCCCAATCTTCAGGTGATGTTGATTCCTTGTCAAAGATCCCTAATTGCTGGATTTTAACCAACCACATTTCCTCTCACTTCGTAGCTCAACCAATCGATTTTTACATTTGTTAAAATCATGATATTTTTCCTTGAGTTTGACGTAAAATTTAAATCGATTGTTGGATTAAACCCTAAATATGTTCTTACATTTAAGATCTTGAATAGGGTAAATTTTGAAAAGTTATTTTGGATTTTTGTAATAATAATTCGAGAATAGGAATTATAGCAATAACAGTCTACTAGATTTCAAAAGAGTAAGAGATACAATCGGTTTTCACAGAGAGAGAGAGAGCGAACAAAGGGTAAAATGACTTGCGAATTTTAAAGGCATAACACGTTTTTATTTAAAAGTTTGTGTAAAATATTTTACAAAAAAAATATTTAAGTCAAAACAAAAGGAACCTTAGTCTTTGTTTCTTTTGATTTAAAATATTTGTTAAAAATTATTTTTCTTATTTTTTTGGTGTTTGGTTGCATTAATTAGTAAAAAAATTGGATTTTAAAGTCGTAAAACATTTTTACTTAAAAAGGTATAAAACATTTTATAGTCAAAAAGTTTTACTAGATATTTTATACAACCCAACGCCAAAAAATATGAAAAATATTTTACAGCAAAACAAATAGGTCATCAAATGGCTCCTTTTGTATTGATAAAAAATTATTTTTTTAAATCTTATTTGATTACTTCTAGACTTAACTTTCAACGGTCCAGCCCACTAAATACATTCTCACTCATCCCAATTACTCCCTCTCCTTTATAGAAATTGTTTCATATCTTCTTTATTCTACAACAACAACAATTTTTTTTTTTTTTTGGCAGACTAGTGGGAGGGAAGATGAGAATACAGACGCACCAGTCTGGAGAGGTAGACGTTTTACCAATTAAGCCATATGCAGCTTTACAACAATGTTTAAAAAATAAAAAATTTCTCCCTATTTTACCTTTCTATTCCTTTCCAATTTATCTTCAAGTGCCATCAATTCCTTGTCAAAGAGACTCGATTACTGAATTTTAACAAGCCATATTTATGCACACTTAGTAACTCAACAAATCGATTTTTATGATGCTATGATCCTGCTATTCTTTTGTGGTTTGAAATAAAACTTAAATCTGGGTGTTTTTACAAACATGTACTTGTGTTTAGGATTTTGAATAGGGTGAATTTTGAAAAATTATTTAGGATTTTCAAAATATCAATTAAGGAACAACAATAACAACTGTAACATATTATTTTTCAGAGAGATAAGAGATACAATTGGTTTTTAAAGAGTTAAGAGAGAAGAGATAAGAAAAAGTGAACGATTAAATAAGATAAAATGACTTACGAATTTTAAGGCTTAAAATATTTTTAATGTGTAAGATATTTTTTTTGTGTAAAATATATCACATCAACAATATTTTATACAGAAAAGGAGCCTAGGCTTTGTTTATTTTTTATATAAAATCTTTTTTATTTTTTTATTTTTTTTGGGAAATAAATAGAATTAAAAAAGCTCATTTGCCAAAAAAAAAATAAAAGCGAAGGGCTTTTATGTCATTTAGTGGCGAAATAGACAATCCTTTCTTAAACCCTACCAATACAACCGAAACCTCGAAGTCCTCAGCAAAAGGTTTTGATTCTCTTTTCGCGTTTGGTTTCTTCTGTTTTTTTCAGATGGCGAAGCGTTTGATCCCTTTTCTGAATCGCGTTTTGGTTGAGAAAATCATTCCTCCGTCGAAGACTAATTTTGGAATCTTACTCCCAGAGAAGACCTCAAAGGTAGGTTATTTCGCTAAAAATCCCTCCATTCTCTTGCCGCCGAAGAATGTTGATAAAACTTCCCTCTTTAGAAACTGTTAATTTTTTTTTGTAGTTTATCCTTTTTTTCTTGAATAAATGAATTTCATTTCTTGCTGGGTATTGTTTAAAAATCAGTTTTGTTTCGTGAATGTCATGTTTGTATGGGAGTACCAACATTGAATACCATAAACCAGTGAGAGTCTCTGGATTTGACAAAATAACCTTCAAATAAACACTTTGATTGGTTACCACTTTTTTACTGTTTCGCTCATGTTTTCTTGCGGAAAGTTGGTAATACTTCTGTTAATAAATGTGTGTTTTGGCATCCTCTTTGAATATGTGAATTTTAATTTCTGGTATTGTTTGAATCGGTTTTATTTCACTTCTATTGTACGCTTGTATGAGAATGTCGACATTGAATACGATAGATCAGTGAAATTAACCTTGAGCGGAACAATTTGATTGGTGATTAGTTGTTATTGGTTGTGTTTCTTTTGGAAATTTTGATCTGGGTTTTACTTGTTTTACTCTGCCTGTGTGATGTTTAGTACCTAGCCGGTCCCAAGCCTAGAAAAGAAGGGTTGCGTTAGGTAGTGTGACAGATACTGTAAAACTCTTGTCAGGTGCATTATGAACCTGAATCCTAGAAAAATACAAGTAAATGTTGGGGCATTCCCCATAAGTGACACATTGCATTAGCTTTCGGGTACTTCAAAAAATGGATAGGCGCATTGCTCGAATGCAGTAAAAAGAAGACAAGGGTTCGTGCATTTTTCTGGAGAATTTAGCTAAGGATAAAGGAATGGAGTTGGTAGACAATATAATTAGAAGGAGAGTTAACATAGTAGCTACAATAATCTAATTGGGTAGGAGAAAAAGTTAGAGAAATTGAGAACACACACAGGATATAAAGTTTATTTCACCAAAAAAAAATAGACATAGAAATGGAGTAGGAAAAAGAATATAAAAGAAGTCATAGTTGCTACTTTTTTTTTTTTTTGATAAGCAAAGATGCAATAGAAAGCTACACAAAGCCAAATAGGGCACCTAAACTTTCAAAGAGTTCAAAAAATTAACTATCTCCCCCATAGATTTACAATTTCTCCCAAGACCCCCAAAAAGAGAGAGCTAAGAATAGAAAAGTTAGCACTCCAATAAGAAGATTCCGTTCCCTCAAACGATCTCCTGTTACGTTCAAGCCATAAGCACCACCAAACACACAAGGGCGCTGCCCTCCAAAAATCACGAGCTTGGGCACCCACTATACACCCTCTCCAAGCCTTAACCAGCCCTCGCGAGGAGCGAAGCACAATCCACAACACCCAAACAAGGCCAAAAATAAACTCCAGCAATCCCAAGGCACTGGGCAATGCAACAAAAGGTGATCAACAGTGTCCTCACCTCTCTTACACATGCAACACCAGTTGACGACCACCTATCTTCTTCTTCTTAGGTTATCCAGCGTCAAGATCCTCCCCAAAACAGCAGTCCACACCAAAAAAAACCCACCTTAAGAGGGTCATTGGAACGCCAAACAGCCTCCATGGGAACTCAGGCCCTAAATCATCAGTAAGGCATTCATAAAGAGATTGGACATCAAAGCGTCCCTGAGATCAGTGATATGATAATATTAGTAAAAATTGTGTTGGGAGGCAATATAGTTAATATAATTAGCCCTCGTGCACACTAAGTAGGATTAGATGAACACATTAAACCACACTTTTGGGATCATATGGATGAAGTTATTCAAGGGATACTCGAAGGAGAGAAATTATATATAGGAGGATACTTTAATGGGCATGTAGAAAAGATGTCGGAGAATATGAGATAGTACATGGTACATTTTTGTAATCTTTAACATAAAAAAGGAAGATTTAAGGGTTTTAGTAAAAGATGTCAAAATTAAAGAAAGATGAAAAAGTTACTTTGAGAAATTGTTAAATAAAAATCACATAAGGAGTTTAGGCTTAGAATAATATAATAACCTTATTGATAACATATTTTATGTAGGATCAAGGAGCGTGAGCTGCGTGAGTATAAAAATGCATTAAAAACGATAAAATTAGGAAGGGCATTAAGGCCAAGTGCCCTACTATGGTTTGGAAGTGTTTAGGGGATGTAAAGGTGTCTTGACTAACTAAATTATATAATAAGATAGTAACAACTAAGAGAATGCCTAATGGGTGGGAGCAACTTATCAAAAAAAACAAAAAAAATGGGTGGGAGCAGAATTATTCTAATACTTATATATAAAGATAAAGGGGAAATACAAAATTGTGCTCCATCCTTCCCACAAAAAGTGTCCACCTTTCCATTTTTGGCTGTCCCAAAATAATTTTCCTAATTCAAAATCCAATGTACTGTTTTTAATATTCCTAATTTACCCTCATTGCCTTGAAGTTATAAAAGCATGTGGACCCACTATAGAAGGGTATGTTTAGAAATTCATTCCCTACCACTATGATAAAAAAAACATAAAAAACTACACTCTTAAAAGTTAGATTCCCAAAAAGGGACATATTTTTATGGGACAGAGGGAGTAATTATGATCGTGGTATTAAATTGCTAAGACAGAAAATTGTAGTGTTGGAAAATCAATTTAAATTCATGTGAGGCTATTTACTTATTGAGGAGACTAATGTAAAGATTTAGAGAGATGAAGAGAGAACTTTATATAGTTTTTATTGATTTTGAGAAATCCTATGATAAAGCAGGCACGTATAGAACTAATATGGAGAATTTTAGGGAAAAAAATCACGAAATATATTGACTCAATAAAAGCATGTATGACGAATGTGTGACTATTGTTAGGACTACCACGGGGGAAACAACCAATATTTTCAATTTTTGTAGGCGTACATCAAGGGTCAGCATTAAGTCCGTATCTTTTTCTCTTAATTATTGTTAAACTGACGAGACACATTCAAGGTGAGATATCAAGGTGTATGTTATTTGCTGTTGATATTGTTTTAGTTGATAAAACTAGTGGATTAAGTGTTAAAGTGGAGGTTTGGAGGGTAACTCTATAACTAAGGGGGTTTAATATAAGTAGGAATAAAACTTAATTCATAGTGTGCATCTAGTATTTTGATAAAATGGAAGAGTGCATCCAGTATTTTTCAATTAGCGTATCCCTATAAGATTGAAAGGAAAGTTCATAAACAACCTATTAGACCAATTGTTCTTTATGGGACAAAATGTTGGCAACTAAGAAACAACATATACATAAAGCGAGTCTAGCGAAAATACGATTGCTGAGATTGATGGGTGGGAAGATAGTAAATGATAAAATTAGAAATGGACACATTCACGAGATGGTTGTAGTAGAACCAATTGTAGATAAAATGAGGCAAAATTGATTAAAATGATTTAGTCATGTGCAAAAAAGACATTTATTTCGTCAATTAGTAAGAGTGATATGATCCACATTGAGGGAAATGCTAGAGGAAGGGGAAGACTAAAGTTAATGCGAGTAGAGTTAGCAAGGAAGGATATAATAACATGTGGTTTAACCAAGGTTATGGGCTTGGGTAGATCATAATGGAAAAATAAGATTCATGTAGCTGACTCAAAGTAGTTGGGAAAAAAGCTTTGCTGAGTTGAGTTATTGTTTCACTTTGCTCATGTTTTCTTTCTGAAACTTCAGTATAACATCATTTCAATAGAGATTATACAGTTATAATTATGTGATTAGTTGAATTATACCAGGATATCATATAGTAATGGTTTTACTTTTATAAAATGTGTTTTTAAAATTTTCCGCTCATGAGTTGTTGACCTTTATGTTGTTTGGGTTTCCAATAATGAAATGATGCAAGTTGGAATGTTTTTTAGGGCCTGTTATTGAATCCATTTCGTTTAAGTGGGTTTTGTTATCATTTTTATGTATTCAATGTCGACGTGTCATTGTTTTTTCAATATCGGAAATGAAAACTAGGTAAAATTTTACAATGGGTGTTTCTGAAACATTCTATAATATGTAATGGAGTTGAATTTCTAAAGTTCAGAAAATTAAAAAAGTTCCCTTTAATAACAAATGTTCCCCTAAACTGTTGTTGAAAATTTTCCGCCCTTCTTGCGTTTTTCATTTTCAGAAAAAGAGATTTTTTAAAAAAATGTACCAAAAACAGTCCCTTAATTTCTTACTTTCCTGCTTTTCCTCGGCCAACCAAATGCAGTGCAATTTATTCTCATTTACTCGATATTAACTCTCGCTCCCTCTCTCTCTCTCTCTCTCTTTCTTTTTCAATATAAAGTTTTAAATGCTTTCAATTATTATGTTGGAGTACAGGGGCTTGTAATCCATTTGTCAGTTTGGCTTTGTATTTTTAATATTTCTTGTACTTGATGATTCAGATAAATTCTGGAAAAGTTGTCGCGGTTGGTCCTGGAGTTCTTACTAGGGAGGGAAAGCTGATTCCTGTCAGTGTGAAGGAAGGAGATACTGTTCTATTACCCGAGTATGGAGGAACTGAGGTGAAGCTTGGCGATAAAGAGTAAGTAAAAGATTTTTTGTTTTTTAGGCTCTCCTACAGTCCTACTCAAAATTCTTACTATTTTCGTTATTTGTCTTTTCCAGCTTACGTTAATGTGATCAATCTTTCTTTGTGCCATTAGCATAAATTGTATTACAAGAATTAGAATCTGTGTTGGTAACTTCTGTTATTAAAAATGTTCTGTAATTGGTCAAGTTGATTCTTTTGGTTTAGGCCAGTCTATGTGCGGTTTGTGATTTTCTGTTAATGTGATGGTTTTGTTTGGCTTATGACTACTGTCTTGATTGACTTGGTTGGATAAAGAAAACTTTGACCTTAGGACTTAAATTGATAATCTTTATTTAGTAGACCCTTGAATCACAAATAAGATGAGTTCTAATCTTTTTGAATTGTAAAAATGTGTTTTAAACTGACTACAACATGTTTGGACTTATATCATGAGGCTTTGAATCAATCTAGGTCAATACAGTCCCTAGAGGTTTAATATACAGTCCCTAGAGGTTTAATAACCACCCTTGGAAGATTGATCACCTCAAGTGACGAGGCAAGATGATCCATCCAGGGACGGAGCCAATGAAGGCCTAGGGGGGGCACGTGCCCCCCCTGAGTTGGTCAGCAACCTATAATATATGTGGTAATTTTAAAAAAAAATTCCATATGTATGAAAAAATTTATATAGTGCCCCCCCTCAAATTTGTAGTTCCTAAAATTATATTCTTATTTTTTCTTTTACTCTTCACATTCCTTAAATTTCCTTAGTAGAAAAAGTCAAATTTTTCTTCCTCAATTGAAACTTTTTAACTATTTCCTATTAAAGTTCTTTCATTTTTCTTTCCTTTTATATTTTAATAATTTTCTTCTTCTTTGTCTTTTTGAATTTTATAGTTGTTATATATATATGTGTGTGTGTGTGTGTGTACTCCGTATTGTTTTTTTTTTGTTTGGCAGTGTGCCCCCCCTCACTTGAAATCCTGACTCCGTCACTGGATCCATCACCTTTGTTCTGGAATCTGGACAGCTTAAGGGATGATCCCTTTTGGCCTAGGAGCTGTCCTGCTTTGAGTTTTTTCAACGTTTTTCTTGATCTGAAAATTATTTTAATTATTGTTAAAGTGGGATCAGGGTTTCAAATGTATAAAGATTGTAGTGTCTTTATACATGAGATACCTAGAGAATTTAGCTCTTTTGCTCCCCTTTTGAGATATTTTCAAAGAGTTGGAGGTTTTTTTTTTTTATAATAAATATTGTATTGGATAGTTTTTCAAAACTGGGGCATATCCTTCTGCGTTCTAAGACTTCCAATGCTGTCCACATTGCGGAATGTTTTTTTCAAGAAGTTGTTCGACTTCATGGGTCGCACGACACCATTTTTTCTGATCGAGATGTGAAGTTTGCGAGTTGGTTTTGGCGCAAATTATTTTAGCTGCTGAATAGAAGGATAAAATTTTCTTGTCCTTTTCACCCGCAAACTGATGGTCAAACCGTGGTTATTAATTACAACTTGGATGACTTGCTTAGTTGTCTTGTTGATAATCCATTTCTTGATGCTCCTATTACTCACCTTCCACCAGGCCCAAGTTTAAAGGTGGAAATCGAATATACTATTGATCACCAACTTGTTTCAATAAGAGGAGGTGGTTATCAAAAGTTCCTTGATAAATGGATTCCCGATAGCAAGTTGCAACACCTACCTCCTGATCTCTCTATGAGCAATTTCATGCCTTTAACTCGTCGGGGTTGAGTTTTTCCAAGTTATGGAATCTTCCATTGGGGCGTTGAAGTTTTCCATTATCTTTTCTCTTTTTTGTTGGGGTTGGGGGAGAAATTATTCATCTATAGATGAAATTGTGAACTTTATGGGTTCTTTGGGACCATAGGTCTTTCCCTTTTTCTTGTTTCTGGCTTTTTTACAGCTCTTGGGACGCGTTCCCCTTTTGAACGCTTTCTAATACATTTTACTTATCAAAAAAAAAAAAAATGGCAGCATTGTATAAGGGTGTATAAAAGGCGCAAAAAGGATGATTCTAAGACTTGAACTGGCATAGGCTAGATGATGTGGGTCCACATGGAGGCTTAAATAATTGGGAGTTGTAGTAAACTTTTATTTACTTCTGTTCTGCTAGTTAGTATTGGTTGCCTTAATTATGGAGTAATCCAAGAGTCAAATGTTGATTACCGTAATTATGGGGTGATTACTTTTATTATGCTATAGAGCCAAATATTGATTACCTCAATTATAGGGTGATTACTTTTATTATGTTATAGAGCCAAATATTGATTACCTCAATTATGGGGGTAATCCAAGGGTCATGAGTTACACTTAAAGAATGCTATAAAAAGGTTAGGAGGTAAACTTGGTGACAGTGAATGAATGGATAAAATACCTATGAAATTTCTTGGCTGAGTGATTCACAAAATATGAGGGTGTGAAGCCTTCTCTAGGTGTAATGCCTAGACCTGTTGGTGTGATTCCAATAGGCTGCTGTTATTCTATTTCTTTTCTCCTTGATTTTCCTACATTCCTATTATCAAACCTCCAAATTTCAGCCCTGGAGGTTTTAATTTTCAGCCTCTGAATTCTGTAGGATTTTAGTTATTTAAGGTTGCTCTCTTGTCCATCATCATTTTGTCACCCTTAGAAAATGTGTGCGCATTCATGTTTGCTTGGAGCTCTAGTGGAGATCATTCAAGAAGAACTAGCAGCCAATTGTATTGCAAAATGCTTATATATTTGTTGGAGTTATTCTTCCCGTAGTGAACCACTGAACCGTATTTGGTTCACTTTGCGGACTAAATGTTGATGATTGGTTAAAAGGAAGGTGGATTACGGCTGAATAGTTGTACTTACGGTTATCTTTGTCGCGGCACCCAATGATCTAGCGCAGCTGTACGTGATTTCATGTGAACCTGGTGGCAATACTCTTGAGTCAAAGGTAAATTAATAGCTGGTGATTCCGGCACAAGGTTCTCTAACTGGTTTTAACATTGGCATTTGGATGGTGTCCTTGTGGTTTTTCCCATTGGGGGTTTTCACATTAATCCTTGTGTCTCTTATTTGCTTTTGTGTGTTTGATTGATTAAGTAATTTAAATAAAAAAGAACTTACTAATTAATTTTTCTCAACCATAACAAGAATAGAACACCTTTTTTGCACCTTGTGCGGTTATGTTTTGGATCACGCAAATCTTGCTTACTGTCATATCAGATTGCTCAATTTGTGACCGATAAATGAAGAAGATTGCAAATGTGGTATTTGATAATTGGCTCAAGTTTGCAAAAGGATTTAATTATCCCCACATCCCCTACCTTTCTTTACCTGTACATTCACTGACACACAAACACTAAAAAGCTGGTTTTCTAATAAACAACGATGCGTCTTATTTTTATATTTTATAATGGATTTCCATGCCAGCTTATTGTTTGTTCTACTACCACTACTTGCATGACGATTCTGACTCTGCTGAACTTTCTTGGAATGCAATTTTAAAATATCTAGTACAGTTGAGTTGAATATTAAAGAAGCTATTGTTGCATCCAATGCTGTTTTATTTTATGCAGGGACTCAGACAAGTTACTGCCTAGGCAAGGGCATTATCATGTTGTTTTTGCATTCAGTATTTCTAATATACGATTTGATCAGAGTGATGCCTGGGCGGTAACTAGGGTCCTTTCACCAGCTAATGGTTGCTTGGGACCTTACCACGCCAAGCTTTTTCGTTTAACATTTATAAATGTGCATCCATATATCTTCTAATCTTGCCATCTCCCCAATAATAGTAATGATGACAATGATGATGGCAAACAAAGCACATACTTAAGTAATACTTCTATAAAAAAGTAAGTAAAATCATATAATCTTATAAGCAGATAGACTGGATTACCAGACTCATTAAAAAACAGTTTCTCATAACTATAATCTTTGAAGTCCTAGATAGGAGCGAACATTAAGCCCGAGCTAATTGAGCTCCAGCCTTCATCTCTCTCTCACTCTCCCAATTACTTCCCTCTTCCTATTTTTTTTTTAGCGTTGGCAATTTGTGTTGGAAAATCTACCCATTTTAAAAACATGCTTATCATAACTATTGAACTCTGCCTCAAACCTTGATCTGCTCGTTCAGAGCTGTTGTTTTTCCTATCTAGTGAATACTCAAAAACTGTTTTAGTTGCGTTCACTCAGTTTACAATGTCAATACTAGGGGTGGCAAACGGGCGGTTTAGGTCGGGTTTGGGTTGTGACCCATATTCAACCCGCTTGTGGGTCAACCCGTCATAACCTACCAACCAGTTTTAGGAAAAAAAAAAGTTATTGTTTTGAATAATCTCATTATTTTAGTTCTTGATTTTATATGTATAAAAGCTTGTAAAAATATGTATGGATAATTGTAAATCTTCCAATTTATTTTGAAAATTCTTTAAATTTATATTATTTTATTTTATGACTAGACATGCATGAAGTTAAATGTTATTTTTATTTATTTTATTTTTTTTTATTTATTTTTTTTGATGCAGTAGATAAACCAAAAAAAAATATTGATGCAACTCTAACACGCCTTCCCATAGAATCCCTTGAGTAGGAAAGCAAAACAGATATAATACACGATACAATGTATTGTGGATGCAAAGTAATACTATAGTACTCCAAAGAATTTTAGAGAGAGAGAGAGGATGATGCGAGGGAATCTTAGAGAGAATTTTAGAGAGAGAATTTGGTATTGTGTGTGAGAATTTTAGAAAGGAAGAAGATGTGAATTTGAGTCAAATAGAGGATGTGAAACTGAGTTTCTTATATAATGGATGAAACACGGGTCAAAATGGGTGACCCATATTCAACCCGTTTAATCCTTTATAAAAATGGGTTGAATATAGGTCACTCATTTTGACTCATAATTTAAAATGGTTCAACCATATCCATTTTAAAGCGGACAGATATGGGCTGGTTGGTGGGTCATGACCCATTTTGCCACCCCTAGTCAATACGTTGAAAGTGGTCTAAAAGCTGCAAATATAATTGTAGTAGATGAAATAAGAGCCTTCGCTTAAGCTCCCGACTCCCTTGGGCTTTTTGGCAACCATGTTTTAGGTTTGACCTTTTATATGACAATAAGTTGAGCATTTTTCTTTAGATGTTTAGATGGAATTTTGAAATACATTTGTGCTATGTTGGGAGCACTAATCGGCCGCTTGGATTTGGAAGAAATTTAGTTAAAACTTTGAACTAAAATTCCTCCAATCCCAAATCTAAAGCATTGATTCAGTGTTCCCAAATGCAACATTAGTGTTAAATGTTGTGAAGGTGAAATGAATGTTTTTTGTGGCTGTTTGTTCATCTTTTTCATGGTTAATAGTGCTAAAACACTGGGTTGAAAAAAAATGTGTTATTGTGAGGTGAAACTTAGAATCAAATCAGCTCGACTAGTTTGGCTCGAATTTACCGGTCTTAAAATTTCTGTGTTCCATTGAAGAAGAAAACATTAATTATGTTGACAACCTAAATCAGAACATTCCTTTTGTTCTTGTGCTTTTTGTTTTTTCATGATTTATTGTTAACAATTTAGACATCACGAGCATCCATCACAGACATCTGCTGCTGAGTCCCCATGGCAATCATCAATTCGTTTTTTCAGATCTTTTAGTTAAGCTAATTGCTGACTACTATGTAAGTTTTGATGGTGATGTAAATAGTTCTTGAAACTTTTCAGGTATCATTTGTACCGGGACGACGATATACTGGGAACACTGCATGACTGATGTCTTTACTTCCCACCATGTTGAAGAATACTTCGTTGAGAATTTGATTGGGTTTAAGCTGTACCTTTAATGGAAGATTTATACCTTGCTTTAGCGATCAGACAGCTCTAGTTTAATCTGTGTGCTCCATAAGAAACATGCTATATTATTATTAAGGATTCCAATTGTTTTGAGGAACAAATTTACAAAAAATTGGGGCATGTTTGGTTTGTAATTCTGAAAACAGTTCTTAAAAATTCAGAGATCAGAGAACAATAAAAGAAAGTTCTCTGAAAACGATTTTTTTTATAATTGAGTTTTCAGAAAATTGAACCAAACAGAATTTTTTGTACAGTTTTTTGTTTTCACTTTTTTGAAAACAGAAAATTGTTCTCCGAGTTGCAAACCAAGAAGGGCCGATTTCTAGGCTATTTAAAATCTGAATTATTATTAAGAGCAGTTTGTTCAGTGTTCAAAACAATTTATGTCCTCCCCGTGTCAGGATTGGGTAATTTGCCCGCCTGCTGCCTTCCTCGGATATGGTAGCCGTTTCTCAGACTCCCTCTCCAGAATCGAATCTTAATTCTCCGTCACTACCATAGTAGGTCACTATCTTACCATCGAAAGTTGATAGGGCAGAAATTTGAATGATGCGTCGCCGGGTGCTTGGGGGCACTAAACGGGTTAGGTAGGGTTTGAGAGCACTGGTGCCTTTTTACAACGCTTCGTGGTCCCAATCATAGTTTTAGTAAGTGTCTCATCATATTAGACCATGAGATCGCTTGCCTGTGCATGGAAATCATGAATTTTAGAACTGGATTTAGTCTCCTTACCATAAATATGCTAGTTGGAATTCATTATATTCTCTACGGGAACCTAATTCCCGATTGAAAAATAAGATGAGCCAGTTGTTGAACAGTGTAAACAGTTTCATGTCTCAAGTTTTATCTCAATTGGGACTCCTAACTGAGATAAAATTCATCTCATCAATTTTTTTTTTGATGAAATGACCATATAAATGCGGTTAAGATCCAGGTTAATCAATTCTAGATAAGGATTTTTTTTTTTTTTTTTTTTTTTTTTTTTTTTTAACATTAAAGTGGTATTTAATAAATTTGAAAATTAGGTGTTCAAATTTTCAAGTGCTAATTATAAATTGAGAACTTTTTATTTATAATTTTGAATGTTCAGTGTTTGGGTAATAAGTGAAGTGTCATTCACTTGAAACTTACCCATATCTGCAGTAACTATTTAATGCATATTTAATATAACTTCATTATTTTTTATATTGATTAAAGTGAAAACTCATAAGGATTTATATATATATATATATATATATATCCAAGTGAGAAGGATTATGGAAGAATAAGAAAAACATAGGGAAAGAATGAAGTTAAATATTACTCCATTTAACTTTTTAAGAGGATATATTTTAATATTTTTTATTATATTGGTAGTGAATAAATTATCAAATATGTACCGGATGTGATTGTTTATTTTTTATTTTTAAATTCGTAAAAAGGTTAAATTGATAATGTTGTAAAAAATACTACTCTACAAATTGGTAGACATTTAATTTAAAATTATCTTTTATGGTCCGTATCTATGTGTAAAGGTAATGAGTCAGGTTCATGTCACTATGTATTAATCATATAACTAAAGACACAGAAGGGAACAAAATTGAATTAAAGATCATATGAAATGCTAAATTGTTCATTTCTTCTTAATAAATCATATATCTATACTATTATTAAATGTGTAAAGTGTTTCAGTATTTATTTATTAATATAAAAAATATTTATTAATTGATATAAAACTCTAAAAATTTCTTAATAAAATTCAAATTACAAATTACCTAATAAAATTCAAATTATAAATTACCTAATAAATCTATACTATTATTAAAATAGTTTCTTTAACATAAAATAAAATCTAATTAGACAAGAATAAGTCTACCACAAATTACCTATTTTTATTTTCAATAAAACTCTATCACAGTATACAAAGATATATTTAAAGAGTTTCTATAAAACTCTAACACAAATTACCTATTTATCTATTTATTATAAGTTTTTAATAAAATAAAATCTAATTATACGAGTATTATTAATATAAAAAATTATTTATTAATAGATATAATAAAAAGAAATCTAATTAGATAAATGATATATTTGAAGAAAATAAAATAATTTATATAAAACTTTACCATAAATTGCCTATTTTATTTTCAATAAAAGTCTATCACATAAAAAAAAAAAAAAAAAAAGATATATTTAAAGAGTTTCTATAAAACTCTAACACAAAATTTAATTATTTTATTTGAAATTCAATCAAGAGGGCACATGTCATTAAGCCTATGAATAAAGGCATGGAAGAAGAAGAAAATAAGACAAAATTAAATATTACTCCACTTAACCTTTTAAGAGGATATATTTTAATATTTTTTATTATATTGATAATGAATGAATTATCAAATATGTACCGGATGTGATTGCTTACTTTTTTTTTTTTTTAATTCGCAAAAAGGTTAAATTGGTAATGTTATAAAGAATAATACTCATACAAAAAGGTAGACATTTAATTTAAAATTATCTTTTGGTTCTTATCTATGTGTAAAGGTAATGAGTCAGGTTCATGTCACTATGTATTAATCATATAACTAAAGATATAGAAGGGAACAAAATTGAATTAAAGATCATATGAAATGCTAAATTTTTCATTTCTTCTCAGTAAATTACATATATATATATATATATATATATAGCAATTAATAAATACTATATACCCTACTTGGGAATAGGACTGGGACTTGGATGAGCCTAACCCGAGAAATTTGAGTCCCATTCAAAAATTTTACGGTGTAGGCAAGGAATTTGGGACTATAGGCGGTGATTGGGCTTAAATTTTAGAGCCCGAACCCAAAATATATAAAATAAAATAAAAAAAGTAAATAAATTACATATTTTTAATGTCACACGTTGCATAGATGATTTAATATTTATAGTAGGATATTCACTTAAGCGCAGTTGCTTTAAAAATTAAAGTAGAATATTCACCTAACTTAAACGCAGTTGCTTTAAATGTTTAAGGTAAAATAAATTAGTAATTGAATTTTAGTTAAAGAACCAAAATAATAAATAATATAAGATTTGGGTTGTTTCTAAAGTTTAATAAGAAATTAAGAATGAATTTTATTAAGTATGAATTTTCAAATTCTAATAATATAGTTTGGTTGATTTATATCATTTTTATTTCATGTCAAGTGAATACAGTTGAGATGCACTTTAATATTTTTTTCAACATTTATTTATAGTTAAATATTACAATAAAATATCATTTTTAAAGGCGTAAATACTTAAAAAAAAAATATCAAGTGCACTTTAACATTATCCCAAAAATTACAGTTGTTAAATACTTTCGATCAATTACAATTTCTCATTTACCTTGACAATAAAAAATGAGATATTGTGATTGGCCGCGGGTATTAGCTTACCCCAGTACCAAAATAACTTCTCTCGTGGTAAGAGGACTAATTAATTACAATCTAATTAATTAGATATCTCAAACCATTATTTGACATTAAAAATATAAATTTATAGGACAAAAGTGCTCTTTTAATACTTTTTTTCTCTCCTTACTTGAATAGTGCATATATATATATATATATATAAACACCTAAATTTTTTTTTACGCCTATGTGTATATATATATATATATATATATACACACTTTCCTTTATATATCATCAAATCTTTGCTAATCCAACCATTTTATCTTCTTTCCTTAGGATATCTCTCTACTATTCTCTCCAAAACTAATTTGATGGCTAATATTAAAACAGTCATGTGCCAAGTCTCCCTTTCTCACTTTCTCTCAATCTCTCTCAAAATCTCAGATATTGAGACCAAATTTTTCTCTTTTCTTTTTAGTAACTTTCATACCTAAATTTTGCTTGCCAGAATTTGCCGGCTTCTTCAACTTGTGCTAAAGTTAATATATGCACAGATATAAATAAAAGAAGAAAAAAAAATTAATTCTCCTCTCTTGCTGGCTTCTTCAACTTGTGCTAAAGTTAATATATACACATATATAAATAAAAGAAAAAAATAATAAAATAATTAATTCTCCTCTCCTTAGGATATCTCTCTACTGCTCCCTTCAAAACTAATTTAAAGACTAATATTAACATACGTCATTTGCTACGTCTCCTTTTCCCTCTTTCTTTCTCCTCTCAACCCCCCTTTCTAAATATTTTCTCTTTCCTTTTCACAATAACTTTCATATTCAAATTTTGTTTGCCTGAATTCGTTGACTTCTTCAACTTGTGTTAAAGTTAATATATACACGTATATAAATAAAAGAAAAAAAAATGATTAATTTTGAAAACAAAAAATATATATAAATAATAACGATGTTTGGCTATTGGAGTTGGGATTGGACCGAACTAAAGATGGTCTTCTCTGTCTTCCTCGTGGAACGACTGATCTAAGATCGTCATCTTAGATCACTTGACACCATTACCTTTGCCAAATCTAAAACCTTAAATGGATTCCTTGATTGAATTTTTAGTTTATTAATTTGTTCTGATTTTTTTTTTTTTTTTTTTAACTCAACATATATTTATGATTATTTTCTGGTGAATTGAGCAAAATCTAAAACCTCAATTGTTGGTTTTGGAGATGATACAAAATCAGGAGCAATATCGAAAAAAGATTCAAACATCCAGAGTCAATATAAGCATGGATGGGCTTGCAACTACAAATGCATTCGTCGGAATAACAAGAATCCTTCACGCCGACTACAAATGCATCCGCTGGAATAACAAGAATCCTTCACGCGCAAGCATGGTTTGGTTCAGGTCTGAGATAAAAAGTTTACGATTTGAGAGAAAAATAAGTTTTGGGTAGGTCAATTACATGAAAGTTACTGAAAAAGGAAGAGAAAAATTTGGTTTACTGAAAAAGGAAGAGAAAAATTTGGTCTTGTATCTAAGATGGAGAGAAAGATTGAGGAAAGAGAAAAAAAGGGAGAAGGAGATGTGGCAAATGAGTGTCTTAATATTAGCTTTCAGATTAGTTTTGGATGGATCAGGGAAGAGATCTCCCAAGAAGAAGATCCGTATTTTTTTCTCTCTTTATTACGAATCCGTATATATATATATATACACACACACACTCTCCGTATATAACTAAAAGACAATTAAAAAAAGAAATAAATAAAAGAATCCATTCCCATCAAACAATTTTAAAAAATAAAAAAATAAATAATCATAATCAATTATGATAATGTTACTGATATATATATATATACGGGTTAAGTACAAGAAACACCCTCATGATATGCATATGATATGCATAAGGTGCAAAAAATACCCTACTATTTTATTTTTTATTTATTTTATTTTATTTTATTTTATTATTATTTTTTTTTTGTGCAAAAAATCCACTACTATTTTTCTGGGTGTAAATTGCCCCATAATTAGCCATTTTGACCCATTTTTTTATAAAAATTTCAAAATGCCCTCCTAGTCCGGTGAAAGCCATAGCCGGCGAACACCATTTCTGGCCCGCCAATAATTTTTTGTGTTTAAGTGTTTCACTTGAAAACCCATTTATGATTTACGATTTTTGTGATGAAGGATGATTGAAAACTCATCTCCGGCAAACTCATTTCTGATCGAATACCCATTTAAGAGTACGCTTAGAATTTACTATGGTTCAAAATATATGTGAAGAAATGTTACCTTTTTCCATAACCGAAACAATTTACAAGAAAGGTGTAGGGAAAACTACACTTAATAAATTTAGGACAAATTGATCTATTTTTAAAGTTAATTTTTTAATTTGATCGAGTTAGATAAAATAATTACATAAGCATAAATAGCTATTATTTATATCCAAAATACCCTCGAAACTCTAATTTCAAAATACCAAAATATCCTTTCTAAATCAAATAATTCTTTAATTTAGAAAATTTAGAAAAACAAGATTTTTTAGTTGACTTTCAACTTCGCATTTTTGCATATGGTGTATTAATTACCAAAATAAATAAAATAAAAAAATAACATTATATATATATATTTGTGCAAAACAATTTAAGGTATGTCCTAATCTATTTCGGTTCAAACATGCAAATGTTAATTTAGAAATATACAAAAAATTTAGTGAAAATTCATTATGTATAGAATTTTTTATTTCAGTAAGTGGAAATTCATCACACACACACACACACACACACACACACACACACACACATATATATATATGTATAATTTTAACCATATCTCCTAATTCACACCACTATAAACTTGTAAATATGAAAACTTTCCTATATATACATATCTACACATACAGCACAAACACGCGATAGAGGGTAGAGGGAGATCATGAAAAAACTAAATGGTTGCTTCAGTATAAATGGTACACCAACAATATATATTTTTTATTTATAAAACAAGTGTAATTAATTGAGCCAAAAAATTAATGATCATCTCAAGGCATGCACCACAACAAAGACGATTTATATATTCTTGAGTTTAATTATATTTTTCTTTTTGGGGACTAACATTTGATTGCCTCATTTTTTACTATTTTGAATCTTTTTTATTATTTGTATAAGTTCTCGTGTGTGTATATATATATGAAAGTTGTAACAATATGGTTCAAAGTTAAATGAAATATCTTATTTTTTAAAAATTTTCAAGTAAATAAATTATTTAAAGAAAATAATTGATTTTAGGAGAATAATTTTTTGTATTTTAGAGTAAGTGTTTGGAGAACATTTTGGATCTAAACCATAATTATTGATGCATATTTAATTATTTTACTTTATTTAACCAAAACCAAAAATAAACTTTTAAAATAGGCCATTTTATTATTTATAACTCCTAATAAAAACTTTATGCAAGTGTAGTTTCCCATCTGGCATAATATGCATTGCCATTACACTACATTCAAAGGTTTTTCTTTTCTAATACCCGGGAGTTAGCAAATTTAAAGAACATATGGGCTTCCTAATCAACAAAAGTTGCAAGCCAAGTGAAAATATCATACTTTGTTGACCATGATCACAAGGTTGACACATATTTAACATAACAAACTAAAAATACACAGATTTTTTTTTAATACCAGATAATAGGAATCATGCTTTTGTAAAAACTTAACGACTCCCTGAAAATCAGATATCCTTGTAAATGACAGCTATAATTATAGAATGCCTATTCACTGATCATGATTGAGCTTAACTGACAGTCCGTGATTAACTAAAATAATAATAATAATGTTAAATGGGTTTTCAATCAGAAATGGGTTTTCAATTGAAACACTCAAAAAAAAAAAAAATTGAAGGCACGCATTGTTTGGCTGGAAATGGTGTTCGCCCATGATGGCTTTCATTGGACTAGAAGGGCATTTTAAAATTTTTATTAAAAAAAAAAATGGTCAGAGTAGCTAATTAGGGGGCAATTTGCACCCCGAAAAATAGTAGAGGATTTTTTGCCAAAAAAAAAAAACGAGGACAACAATAGGGAGTTTTTTTTGCACCTTTTGTATACAGTGAAAGTGTTTCTTGTCGTATTTAACCATATATATATATATATATATCAATTAAAATATATATATATATATATATATATATATATATATATATAAACATGTGTTTACATTCATATACAAGTCAACTTAAGAGACATATGTAACGTTAGTGTTCGAAGTGCCTATTTTTTGTCTTTAAAAATTTAAAACAGATCACAGGTATTTTTCACTAATCCTAGTAATAATACCCCTCATGCTTTTAATGACGCGTGGAAGGACATTTGGAAAATCAGAACCAAAGAAAAGATCAAGTTTTTCATATGGCAGTGTTGTTTGGCAGTTTTGAAGAACCTCCAGTCTAAAGAGATTGTCTCCGATGCGATTTGTCGTGTCTGTGGGATAGAAGAAGAGACAATTTCTCATATGCTTTGCAAATGCCCCATTGCCTAGGTGGTTTGGAAAAGCAGTCCTCTCATGTTGACTTTTTCAGACTCTAGTTCTTGTTCATGGCAACACAACTGGTTATATCTTCTGAACTTATGGCACGTTCATCAGGCCTTGGAAAGTTGTCTAAGTCTTGTCTCGGTTATCATGTGGTAGTTATGGAAAGGGAGAAATGATTGGCACTTCAATAGCAAAAATTGGTCTCCCCACTACATCATTGATCGAGCTTTATTCAACTTCCGTGAGTTCTGGGTAGTCCTCCATCAAGACGCTTCCATTTTCAGTCCCCAATCTTTCTCGTCCCCCCGTCTATCTTCTTGGCAATCCCCTATTTTGGGTAGATTAAAGCTAAACATTGATGCCGTTTTCAATTCCATCTCCCATCTCGCGGGGGGTGGTGCCATTCTTAGGGATGACAAAGGGAGACTGGTTCGGTGCGCCTCTTTCTTTTTTGAGAACGTGGGATCGCCTGCAGCGGCAGAAGCTCTCACTTTAAGGGAAAGTCTGAAACTTCTATCTTCGTGGGGCCACACAAATGTTGATATTGAAGGTAATAATTAGCGCATTATGCAGCTCCAGTCGGTGGATGGTTTCTCCTCTGTTATCGTAGAGGATATTGCTTGTTTGTTGCCTCATTTGCACTCTTGGAAGCTTCTCTGGACTCCTAGAATTTGCAACAGAGTTGCTCACTTCATTGGCAAATGGGCTCTCAGGTCTAAGTGTAGTGATCTTCAGTGGGATGTTTTGCCTCCTAGTTTGATTCAAGCCATTGAGGTTGATTTCTAGTTTTTCTGTCTGTGTTTTTTTGTAGCCCTAAAAAAAAAAAAAAAAAAAAGTAATATTAATTTTAAATTTTAAATTTTAAATGCTCATAATGATAAGAGACATATAATTAATTAGTTAATATAAATTTTAAGAATCATAACCAATTAAGAGTGACTCCTCCTCGTTGTCTTGCAGCTTGGTGGACCATGCCTGTGAGTAGGGTTAACCCATTTATCAATGCTGATCCACCCAAATTACTGGTACATGTAAATTTCGTGCAGAAAAAGCTATATTCACTTCATCGTATTTTTAAAAAGAAACTCAGAAAATTCACAAAATCTAAATTCAGATTTTAAGAATTTTCTGAAATTACTAGTTATGGGAGTACCATACTTTGCCCAACAGAATCCTGAAAAATTTGGGCCCATTTAAAACTCACGCAACCAAAAAACTGTCCCTTTTCACACCATTCAAAGCCCAAATGGCAAAAGTGTAGCTGCGTGGCTTGGAAACGGTGAGTGCTGAGACTCTGCCAAGTCTATCTACCGTTACACTCACTCAGCACACCACTCCACACTTTCTCTCACTACCTTCTCTCTCTAGACCGGCCTTTCCCTTTTCAAAAATCAAAATTATACCAAGAAAACGGCAGAGTGAGAAACAGGAGAAATCCCAATTCTTGTTTTTGATCAAAACCCTAGAAATGAATACAGAAGACGACCCAGTGAGTCTCTTCATGATTCTGGATCAGTGGCCATATTTGCCGATTGGATTCGTGGAGGTTGGGGACGAGGAAACTCAGGAATTGTCCGGTACTATCTCTCAATCCTCCGAGACCTACATGGTTGGATTCGTTATCGTCAACATCGTTGGATTACAGTACTATTCAGGCACGATCAGTGGACGAGAGATGGTTGGTTTGGTTCGCGAACCGTTGAACCAATACGATCAAAACGCAATCAAGGTGCTCAATACGAGGACGGTTCAAGTGGGTCACATCGAGCGGGCGGCGGCGAGGGTTCTGGCACCGTTGATCGATGCCAATTTGATCGCCGTCGAGGGCATTGTCCCCAACACGCCCCGGAGGGGGAATCGGTTTCGGCTCCCTTGTCAGGTTCACATTTTTGCCCGGATTGAGGCCTTTTCGAGAGTGAAGTCGGCCATTTCGCGAGGTGGGTTGAATTTGATTTCGGAAGACAATGCGTCGTTTACTCTGTCGGAGGCTGTTGCTGTGAAGGAGAAGACGAACGCCAAGGATGGAAAGAGTTTGGATGAGATATTCAAATTGGTTGATGAAAATGTGAATAAAAAGGGGGCTATGGAAGCATTGGAACCGCCTAAAGATATTATCAAATCGGAGCTTTTCTTGCACCAAAAGGAAGGCTTGGGATGGTTGTTTCATAGAGAGAATTCCTGCGAATTGCCGCCTTTTTGGGAAGAGAAAGATGGCGCTTTTGTCAATGTGTTGACAAATTATCAAACCGGTGACCGGCCTGATCCATTACGTGGTGGAATATTCGCTGATGATATGGGATTGGGTAAAACTCTCACCTTGCTTTCCTTGATTGCTTTTGATAAATGTGGCAATGCTACTTTTACAAGTGATACTAATAGTGTAACTATGGAAAAGGGAGAAGAAATCGATGAAGAGAATGAGAGATTGGTTGTTTCAGGGGGTAAGAAATCAAAGAGGGGGAGAGTCAGCAAAAAGGTTACCAATTCACGCAAAAAACAGAAAACAGAGAACGCCCATTTAGATGTAACGGTGAAAGGAAAATTAGTGGGTGGATTTGATAGTTCTTCTAGTGCTTTAGGTCCTAAAACAACGTTGATTGTTTGCCCCCCTTCTGTATTTTCGACTTGGATAACACAATTAGTGGAGCACACTAATCCTGGAAAGTTGAAGGTGTATATGTATTATGGAGAACGGACCAAAGATGCCAACGAACTTCAGAAGTATGATATAGTTTTGACGACTTACAGTACTCTCTCTAGTGAAGATGGTGGGTCAGAATCACCGTTGAAGAAGATAGAGTGGTGGCGAGTCATTTTGGATGAGGCACATGTAATTAAGAACGTCAATGCTCAACAAAGCCGTGCTGTAAGTAACCTCAATGCCAAGAGAAGGTGGGTTGTTACAGGTACACCCATACAAAATGGGTCTTTGGATTTGTTCTCTCTTATGACATTTTTGCGGTTTGAGCCATTCTCAATTAAAAGCTATTGGAATAGCTTGGTACATCGCCCAATTGCTCATGGAAATGAGAATGGGCTCTCGCGGCTGCAGGTAAGAAAAATTTACCCTATAATGGGAACATATCTTCAGATTCAAAATTTGATATTATATCTACTGAATTTTCTACTTTACAAACTTGGAAATTATCTTTATCTTGTTCTACTAAATGCTTCTCCTTTCTCATTGAACAATTTTGTCTACAATAGTCTGTATTTTTAAGATCTCAGTGCTTGAGTTTATCTAGTGCAAAAAATTGAAAAGAATAGATTCATTTCTTGTGTGCATTAAAGGTTTATTATCATATCCTTGTAACCTGGATATACATTGCATTTTCACTTGGATATGTTTTCTCTCTCTCCCCAGTCCTCCCCTCGACCCCATTTGAAATTGCCCCAAATCCATCCCATTAGTGCCCCTAGTTTGAGGTGGGGCAAATTGCTATCCCTATTTTGGGGACACTTCCCTACTACAGGAAGGACAAATGGTGACATGGACACGTGTCTATGTCCAAAGAAGAAGAAAATGGAACACCTGAGAGAGGGAGTGAGCGTTGTTGTCATACCAGGTCCCAATAGTGGAACACTTAAATGTCTCTTCATTGTTTGCATCTACTTCCTTCTCCTCACTCTACCTCTTTAGGTAAGAGAGCTAATGTCAATTTAGAACCTTTTTTTTTTACTTCCTGTATACCATAAACTCCTTTAAATATAATAGTTTTATAAAAACCTGTATGCTAGACAACTTCTTTAACTGTATTCTTTTATCTTTGTAACATGCAAAATGGTAACAAGGTTTAGTTAAGAAGCACGGACACTTCTACAAAGGTGCCGTGATTGTGTCGGACACGACATTTCATGGACAAGTGTCCGATACTTAATGGACATGTTAATAATTGAGACATGATTTTTATTAATTTGGACACTTAATTGAGACAGTCCGGCCACTTGGCTTGCATATTTCGAACACTTGACTAACACACTCTACACTCTCAAATACAAGTCTTCTAGAATACAAACTTATACAATCTTGAAACGAAACAAATACAGTTCAAAGTGTCCAACCTCTTTCTTTTAAAATAAAATTGACACTATATACATGTCATAACATGTAATGGCACTTCTAAATATATGAAGACAACATTTATAATGTCAAGGCGGGAGAGTAATTACATATATAATATTAGGATGTTCACATAGCTCTTTCCAATAGTCACATAGCTCTTTCCTCTAAATTATGCAACACACTGTAACGGTCTTGTTTGATAAAATTATTTATATATATCAGCCGTGTCCACGCCATATCCGTGTCCAATTTTTTCAAGATTTGACATGTTGCCGTATCCGTATTGTATTGTGTCCTCGTCCACGCTACATAGAGGTTTACAATAGATGCTGCTAAGGTAAAAAAGTAGTGATAGACTATAAAGAAATGTATTTATGTATATGAATCTGTGTCTTGATTTTTTGGACCATATTGGATAGTGTGTACATGTATTTTACCTCCACACATCTACAATAATAAACTCAGCTTCACATTCACCATCTTTGCTACTGAAATTGAAGCAATATAATTTCCAATCTCCGTTTTAATTTTAACTACTTTTTTCATCAATGCTTCATAAGAAACTGCATATAGTTGAGTTGATTTGAGTTCCTGAGCTGCTGCAGTGTTGTGTTGATTTGAGTTCTGTAGGCCCCTTGACGCTTTCTGTTGAAAATTCAAATTGTGTACAGTTGAAAAGCATCTTTACTTCGTTTCAAAATTTTAACACATGTACTGGTACTGAAACAGCAGGAAGAACACTTGTATACAGATTTATCGCTCTGCTTGGTACTTTTCAAGGCTATTCAATCAAGTTCTTTTTTGATAAGTTTATTAAGTTCTTTCCAGCTAACTTTATGAATGAAAAGGATTTCTTGTAGTTGGATATTAAGAAATGGAAGACCCTCTGTTGCATGCATTAGTAAGTATACTACGAGGATTCTTTATCTAGAAAAAATTGCATTGTAGATAAGAAGTTGAGGATGGGGTAACATATTAGAGGCAATGAGAAAACTTAGTCTGATTAGTCAGTATTATATTAACAACAACAAGATAATCTGATTAATATTCTTAACGGGATTCAGGATTGCAATGATGCTTATTAAGGTTATCAGAGAGTAGTTGAAGGCTTTAAAAGCATCTTTGGTGGAATATACAAACATATTACCTTCATGTAGAATGGTCTTTGATATTCACGTTGTAAATTTGTAATGCAGAACAGATATTTTGGAGATGAATGATTAATTTCATTTTGTCACCTATGTTATTTCTCTCTCCGTCTCTCTCTCTCTCTCTCTCTCTATGTGTATATATATATATATATATATATGTTCTGCAGTTCTTTATTGGTATGATAACATTTGGTGGTCATTCTGCCTGTATCTTTTCAGGTTCTTATGGCAACTATTTCTTTGAGGAGAACAAAGGACAAGGCTGTAATAGGGTTGCCAAATAAAAGTATAGAGACTTGTTTTGTGGAACTTTCTGTGGAAGAACGAGAGCTATATGATCAGATGGAAGGAGAAGCCAGAAGTGTTGTCCGTGATTACATCTATGCTGATAGAGTAATGAGCAATTATTCAACTGTACTTAGCATAATTTTACGACTTCGCCAGATCTGTACAGATTTAGCCTTGTGCCCATCAGATATCAGATCACTACTTCCACCTAACAATATTGAAGGTATTTTTATGAATTTGTCATCTTTTAAAATTTTATAATATTCTTAGAGAGGTCTCATGGCAGTTCTTCTAATAATATCTATTAGTTCTCTCTCTCTCTCTCTCTCTCTCTCGTATCTTCTGAATTATCATGGAACAAAAATTTGGCTCAGTAGAATTCAATGAGGATTTCAGATATAAATATATATAATCTCTTTTTTTAACTTGTGTGTACAACTTTATATCTTGTATTTTTGTTCTCAATACCCTACATTCCTTACATGTCTACTATTTCTTAAGATATATTGTTTTAGGTGATTTGATTCATTCTTCTTGAGGAGGACGTTATTTCTCTTGTTCTTATATTAGTTAAATTTCTCTCCTTTTACACATAAAGTTTTTCGTATTTAACTTATTATTGAGATAGTGTGAAAAAAATATAACGCATACGATCCTGAAACGAGGCAAACTCAAAAAGTCAGTGGGGGAGAACAGGCCAGGGTTTAAAGGTAGTTTATATGCTCGTGTTTAGATCAATACTTTTTTTTTTTTTTTGGCTTGTTTGTTGGGTTCTCTTTTTATTAAGAGATTGTGATGCCATATTTATTGAGTGGCTAAACAAATATGATAGGTTTGGAAGCCTAAAATAGAAGATGTGGGCTGCAGGAAAATTAAGAAGTCCTGTTTGATCCTAAGGGAAGTCTTTATGGTAATATGTTGGGTCATAATTATGTTTTCCTGAGGTAGCATGTAAATTGGGTTATAGTTGATGTTTGCTCTATGTTAGTACACTGCTGATAACTTTTGTTTGTATTTTATATTATGTTTTAGGAGTTTTGGATATTTTGGTTATATCTAGCTTTATTGGATATTGGCTGTGTATGGTACTGGTGCATGGGTTCATGTTTTTGGTCAAATTGTGTTTTTCCCAAGTAATTGGGAAAAGCTTGGTTGTTGTTGTTGTGTGTGATCATTTCTTGTCTCTAGTAGATGTCGAAAATTTCTTTTATATATAAAATTTGTAATTTTTCTATTTTATAGGACCCTAGTTATGTAAGTTTCTACTTCCCTTTTTTCCTATATGCAAATGCACATTCAATTTGGTAGACTTTGAGTTATATGAGAAGCTTGGTGGTTTGTGGTACAACCTAGCCTTAAGGGTTGAATCTTAAGGGAACCTATTTGAGATTTCTAGACTATAAAAAGGTGAGATTTCTAGACTTCTCATTATAAAATGTTTGAACCTTAGTAATACAACCACAGATACTAAAACCTCGTTTACTTTTAATGGGTGACTGTTTATGGCCCCAGAATAATCCCTGTTTCATTATTTTCATATCCATAACTTCATCCTTCCTAGTCCTAATCAACCCAATCATTTTTTTTTGTTTTTGTTTTTTGGTTCTTCAATTTATCTCTTGAACCTAAAGATCTTGCTATTCAGAGTTTCCAGCTGCGGCGTCTCTGAAATTCTTGCAACATAATACTTCTTTAATGAAGGCAATTTCAATTCTCCTTGGAAAACCAAAAACAAGCTTTGTAGCCTCTCTATATTCCCAACTGTAAAGAATGTTATTCCAAGTTTGAAGTGCTGTCCATCATTACTTGGCGCCCAAAAGTGGGATATATTGTGCCTTGCAAGAAAATAAGGAAATGTAGAAGAGAGAAAAAAAAAATTAGGGCCAGTCACTAGTCTCCTACAATTTTTTTTCTTTTTCTTTTTTTGAATTGTAAGAAATATTATAGCAATCATCTTAAAGCTATATGCGGTCCAAGCCTTTTCTATAGGAATTGTAATCTCCAATTGGCCCCATCCTTTTGAACATGCACATTTGTGAAGGCTTCTTCTCTACGCTTAAATTTTGATTCGGCATATGCATTACAAAGACCTCTCCTCAGGTAATACTCGCTACCTTCTTCTCTACGGTTAAATTTTGATTCGGCATATGCATTACAAAGAGCTCTCCTCAAGTAATACTCGCTACCTTCTTTATAGGCACTTTTGAAGATCATAGAGAGGAGTTTCTCTCCAAAAAAAAAAGTCTCATTGAAGACTTGAAAATTACCACGAGGACCTCCTCACCATAGACAAGTCTTTTTGAAGAATACTGTGAGGACTTCTTTATTGGTTAGCATCATTTGAAGAATAATAAAACCCTGACGTGCCTCGTGCATGGGCTGAGTTGGAGTAGAACTGAGTAAATGTCTATAAGTTCAGTTCAGGGCTAATCGTCAATTGCCATGACCTGCTTGCAAACGATAGTCCTATGGAATCCTTGGAAGTACTTGACTGGGTGGCTGAAGTTAAGGGTTTGTCGGGGTAACCTCACATCTTGCATTGGTTGAGTTGAAGTGGGACTTAGGAGGCTTCTACAGGTTTAGTGCATGGCTGGTCATCATAACCCACTTACAAATTACAAAGGATAGCCCTCTGGAATTCTCGGATTACATGGCTTGGTGGCTGAAGTTAAGGTGTGTCGAGTTAAGTTCACTTTGAGGCTTGCGCATATCTTGAACTGGCTTGAAGAGTAAGAACACTACACCCAAATGACATATGCACAGTATGACATGACATACCGTATTGGACCACTGGAAGACTTTCTAGGGGCGCTGGCTATTTTGGCGCCATCTTATTGCATTGCATGGCCACTTTAGTGCATAGAAATTTCTATCCGTAATGGTTAATCCCTTAGTTGTTGCGATGTACCTAGTACATCTTTGACCTCAAGGAGTCTGGGCTCTCTCTCTCTCTCTCTTCCACCTAGTTTGGTTTATTTGGACAGACGTTCCCATTGCTTCTTGGTATATATGCGAGAAAATATGGATAAGTATCTAACTTCAATGAGAAACTGAAATATTTGTATATATGTGGCCACATTAGATTTCCATGACCACAGTTAATTTTTTTATTTTTCTTTTTATTGTTCCCTTGACCCTGTTATGTTTTATCTCAGGCATTATTCTTCCCCATAATTGAAATGATGCTCCCCATTCAAACTTATTCAAATTATGCTTATATTGAGTAGTGTGTTCGGTGTTTTTACTCATTTTGTATTCGCTTTCTTTTCTAAATTCTTTTGGTGTTTTGATGTAATTTAATTATGATGAGTACTTATAATCCTTAAATTGAATACAATCAGATGTATCCAACAATCCAGAATTGCTGAAAAAGATGGTTTCAGTGCTACAAGATGGGGAAGATTTTGACTGTCCAATTTGTATTTCTCCACCGACTGATATTGTTATTACATGTTGTGCTCACATCTTTTGCCGATCCTGCATTTTAAAGACCCTAAAGCGCATGAAACCCTGCTGTCCACTGTGCCGCCGTCCATTGTCAGAATCTGACCTCTTTTCATCCCCACCAGAATCTTCTGACACAGACAATACTGTAGTTTCCTCTTCCAAGACATCATCGAAAGTGTTAGCCCTCCTGAAACTCCTGTCAGCTTCTAGGGATCAAAATCCAAATACAAAATCAGTTATATTCTCACAGTTCAGAAAAATGTTGATTTTACTTGAAGAGCCCCTTACAGCTGCTGGTTTTAGGATCTTGCGCTTAGATGGGTCCATGAATGCGAAAAGAAGAGCACGAGTAATTGAAGAATTTGGAGTCCCAGCACCAGAAGGGCCTACAATTTTGCTTGCAAGTCTGAAAGCTGCAGGTGCTGGTATAAATCTTACAGCTGCTTCTAGGGTCTACTTGTTAGAGCCGTGGTGGAATCCAGCAGTGGAGGAACAGGCTATGGATCGTGTCCACCGGATTGGGCAGAAAGAGGATGTCAAGATTGTGAGGATGATAGCTCGAAACAGCATTGACGAGCGGATATTGGAACTGCAAGACAAAAAGAAGAAACTGGCAAGGGAGGCTTTTGGTAGAAGGGGCTCAAAAGATCGGAAGGAGATTAGCATAGATGATCTCCGTACCCTGATGTCCTTGTGAGGTACTCTTACTTTTACATCATGTACATGTAAAAGTATGCATGCATGCATGTTGCATTTGCTCATACATGTATCTACACATTCTGTAGTTTTTTGCCATGTAGTATGTATGTACATGTGCATCGACCCATCAATACAAATATGTAGGGTATGTATTAGATAGGTTCACTTTTTGAATGCTGGAACCATTTCTTTACATGTGTCACAGAACAAAAAAAATGTCAAAAATGAGATCAAAAGATTTCCTTTTTGTCCGATGGAGTTATTTTATTTTTTTATATTTTTTTCCCGGTTTAGTTACTTTTCAAAGGATTCTGATCCAGGTTTTGTCCTTGTTTAGAAGAACAAGAGTAATGTTATACTCACAAGATTACTTAGTTTATACGAACACTGCCCAGCCCAAGTTGTAGATCATGTATTTATGCGTACAAGTGTAATGTATATAATATGTGTAATGTTTACACGCACACACACGCACACACACTCACATATATATATATATTCGTGGATATATGATGGAAATGGGCTGGATTTGCTGTCTGCGGTGATGGGTCAAATAGAGTTTGTATTGGCATGAAAAACGATTTTGTAACAAATTGGTGTGGATAGTTGTTGTGCAAATATGCCAAAATTCTGCAGAGACAACTCTGGTGGCAGCAACATATTTGGTTTTAGTTGAGGAGAGCGACCTGTTTGTTACATTGAACTTTTTCAAGTGGGTGAGAGGAATTTCACAAGCTGTCTAGTACTATCTTTTGAAGCAACCCTAAAAATTAAATTGTATAAGAGCCAGTTTGGGGGTATTATCGGGAATTCATATACCATCATGTGGGTTGAGGGAACTGTTATGTAAGTGTAGGTCCATCTTGGGAGGGTACAGGGAGTCCCACATTAAGAATTGAGTGCAAAGAAGACCAAATTGACTAGTCATTTTTGGTACCATACTGGTCATATGAGAAAAACTTTGTTGCGTACACATCCGACCATTCATTATTACGTGTTACACGGACGATCTGAGATGGTGCAACTCCATAGTTTTTCTCATAACCGACCTCTCTTTTGTTTTGTGCTCATCCTAAACAAGTAGCAAAATGTGGATCTCCTTTCATCATATGCAACCTGCCCAACCACTAGCCACCACTAGCATGTAATCTGCACCACCACATTGACATGCGAAAAATAGTGTCACAGAGTGTTTATGTGATCTGACTCTATTTATATTGAATTAAAATAAAGATAATGACGATGATAATAATTACAGAGAAAAGAGTAGTCACACCTACTCACACAATACATAATTGTCATCCTTCAAGCCGGAAAATGTATCTTTTTTTCATGAGATATTCTTTCATGAGAAAATGAAATAGTTTAGTGAGAATGATAGGCTAATATGAAAATTACATTATAACCTTAAAATTGATTTTGTCAAAAGTAAAAGTAGCAAGGACGTGTTTTGGTTTATTAAATATGAAAAAAAAAAAATTCCGTCCAATTAAAATAAGGAGTTTTTTTTTTCACCTGATTTAAAATTAAAAATTAATTTAATTTGTGAATCCTATTATTCTCAAATTCAATAATTTAAACTTAGAAATGGATTTAGTGCGAAATCAAATTTCAGTATTATTTTGATTTATGGATTCGAATATGACTGCATTGAATCCAAACCTTTATAGAGGACTAGAATTCTCTCTAGTCTTCAGTTTTTCGCTGATGTAAGTACGACCAACAATAACACTAGAAGACGTTCAAACCTTTAGACTTTTGCACCCTAATTATATTTGACCCAACAATATTTCATGTTTTTTACTTCTTGTTTTTAAATTTGGGTCATTTGACTTTAATTTTCATGTCAATCTAGAAAATATGAAGGATGTGGGCACATTTGCGTGTGAGTCAGACAACCACGTGTAAACCTAACAAACAATTGTGAATTTGGCAAGTTTACAGTGTGTCCCACCACCGCAACAATCCGGAATACCAATCCAATCCCTTATGAGTCATCACATGCTTTTTGCGCCACTAAACAAAATTCTTCGTGTGCGTGTCTGTGTGTGTAATTGTGTGTTTATTATATATATGCGTGTATATAATATATATTGTATATAGGGAGAGAGAGAGAGACAAGCGCCACTTTTGTTTACCGACTTGAATTTGACATTATAAGAAACTTTTGATTGTTAAAGTTGGTATCTAAAGAATAATGGAGTAATTGATACAAGTAGTCAACTAAGCAGCCCACTCATAACGATGAGATTCATTTTGTTTCATAAATGCATATATATATATATATATATATATATATATATATATATTGGAGTAACAACAACATCCACCACCAACCTTAGCTGTGGGCTGTGTTGAAAGTGACGACTATATTGGTGCACGGCCTAAAATTGTGAACCTTATGATACCACATCAACATAATAAATGACACCTTTTAATGTTGTTATGTACGTATTTGTTGGTCCAACTTTTTCAATCATACTACTTCTTCCACTTCGAATTCGCCTTCTCAATTATTAGTTCAACAATTCTACTTCATCTACCAAATCAGTTTGGAAGCCCATTGTACGCTAATGGCTTTTGTTCTTCATCTACCAAATAACTATGAAAAATAAATAATATACACATTTTAAATGTGGATAAAGTAGTGGGATGTGTATTTCCCAACGTGATGTCATCCATGACATCATGACATGTGTGAATTCTACATATGTTCTTATGAATAGTCAATAATATTGACCGTTCAAAAAAAGAATAACTCTCTAATTTTTTTTTTTTAAGATAAAAAAAAATATAAATAGCATTACATTTTGTAAGATGGAAGGAAAAGAAGGAAAAAGAGTAGGAAGGGAGCAACCATTTATTATTTGGTAAATGAAGAAGAAGGGAAGATATGAGTGATGGAGTAGTCTTCTATTGTTTGGCAGAACAAAGAGAACCATGAAGGATGGAAGGTATGAGACAAACATCCATTTTTTGTCCACCATTTTGTTTCCATTCAAAAGTCCAAAAAAAAAAAAATTTAAATAAAGAGAAAAATAAATATATTTATAAAGTTTTACAAGCATTCTTACTCTCATTCTAATATATTAATTTATATATTTAAAAATACATTAATAAAATAATTATGCCATTTATTTCCTTCCAACAATACAAAAGAAAGAATATCAACATCCCACATCTTAAAAATATATTAACAAAATAATAATGACATTAATTTTCATCCATCAAAACTAAAGAAGGAATGTCAACATCATTTCTTAATCATGTCTCATCCCACTCATCCCAATCTTTTTCCATTCATTTTCCTTCTACTAAATCTTTTTTTATTTTCACTTAGACTTCTAAACACAACCAACCAAATTAATATGTTTTTAATTTTCATATGTGTACATATATATATATATATATATAGAGGACTGTTTACCTGTTTACTGGTATGCAAAAAATTTATACATGAATTAAATCTTAACTGTTGAATATGAAAAAATAAATTATCTTTTTAATTGCTCAATAAAATTTAACAATTAATATATGAGATGTGCATATATTTTTCTGCACATCATAAAACAAGTGAATAATTCTGAGTATATATACACACACACTAACATAAGCTGTGGGTGTTCTTGATGGTTCTTGAACTAAAACCAAGTTGTGAAGTTGTTGAACCTAGTTTTAAGATGTAAGAAATGATTTTCCTTTAAAAAGGTACACATTACATCTCACTTTTGGAATATGCCACTTGTGTAGTTGTGTGTGTGTCTCTCTCTTACATGTCAATGAATGATTGACTAACCTTTTTTTATTTTTTTATTTTTTTATTTTTTATCTTCCCTCACCGACACGTCACTTCACCGCCCGCTATTTTGTTGCAAAACACACGAGTCGCCGAGTATACACAAAACTCGCCTCCGGAACATCATCAGTAATTCCCAATCTCCTTTGCCTCACTCTAATTTATTTATTATTATTATTTATTTTCTTCTCTGGCCTTTTCTGTACGTTTTTGAGTTGTAACCAACTAACCAAGTCAAAGTCTAAATCCAAAACTTCACTACTTAAAAATAAAAATAAAAAACTTAAAAAAAATTAAAGGTATATTTGATTCAGTTTTTTGATTTTTAAAATTTAAAATAAAAAATATACAAAAATAATTTAATTTAAAATTTTAATTTAAAAATAAAGTATATGTTCAGAAAATAAATTTACAAAACCAATACACCTATCTCTCATGAGAATAAAGTATGAAAATATCATCTCTAATAATAATAAAAGAAGAAAATATGTCATACCATCACTTTTGTTAAAATTTAATTGCACATGGGACATCGTTAATAGTTGCACAAGTGATAAGTTTAAAATTGTAAAATGATGATTTAAATGTGTTTGGAGGAAAAAATTAAATAGAGAGAATCTATTTTCTATAAATCAATTTAGCACTTTTTATGCAAATAAAAGCTTAATCAGTCGGAACTAATTGCAACTAGCACGTTTTTGTGCAAAAAAAATCCTGTAAAAAGTAAAAATTGTGAATGTATTGAATTCTTCAAAATATAAGAAGAATTATTGTAATTTAAAAATCAAACATATCTATTTGTTATTTAGATATTGTACATGTAACTCTTTTATAATATATTCCTAGATATTAGGCATTTAATTCTTGATATGAAGAAACAATTGGTATTCACATTTATGGTGGAATTTGGAACTGATGGCCTGTTAAAAAAAATAAAGAACACAAACTAATCTCTTTAATACGGATACGGGACACATTAAGAAAAAATATGTATATGATTTGACAAATTTTAAAATAGAGGATATGGATGCAGCATGCATAAGTTAAAAATAATATATAAAAATAATAATTTTTATTTATTATCTATATAACTATAAATTAAATCATTAATTAGAAATTAGAGTTAGATATTTGTTATTTTAATTTTTAATATTTTATATTATATTTTTAATATTTCATAATATATTTTAAATTATATTTAATCTAAATTTTTTAAAAAAATTACAAAATTAATCCGCGGATCGAAACGTATCTTTGTGGTTTCTCAACCATGTCTAACTAAAATATATATTTTTAAAATTTAAATAGTTTTAATTATCTAATGTGTTTGAGCCATGTGTGTCCGATAATGATACGGCCAAAACACCCCTAGTCAAGTGTGAACCAGTGCACCGTGTAACTGTAATTAATTTAGTGCTCTAAATATATTTCTAGTCAGATTCTGCATTCTAGGCTCCTAGCTTTTACCTCCACGTTGATATTCAAAACGGGTTTCTTAAAACCGTTCGGAGTTGAACCTCGTGTGAAAACCAGTTCTTTGTGTTGATTATCTATCTGCCGTTGTTTTTCTAACCAAAAAAAGTTTCTCGTCTTATCGCAATACACGGTATTCCTTTTAGAGAGAGAAAACAACTGTAATAGTTTCATTTTATTTTCTTCTTCTTCAATTTCTCACAATTGCAGTATAGCTTTCTTTAGATTTTTAATTGATTCGACGGGAAAATTCGAAGACTCGATAATTAGTCAAATATTGGTTTTGTAAATTTTGCCAGAATAACGAATAAATTTGCTTAGGATATATTGTTGATTTTCCGGTATAGGTTTAGCGTTCTATTATAATCTAGAAGATATTGATTTCCGATCATCTGTTACAACCATATCTTAAGTTTTGTATGTGACGTAATCGATTTGTTCGTCGATTATCAGAATACCTATCAACAATTTTGGTCAAAACTGATTAAAAAAAACCAGAGGTTTGACCATTTTTTTATAATCATTTTACCATCCAACTTTGATCGAAATCCAGATTTTGATTTCTGGGTGTTTTCAAAGGCACAAGAAAGCCAAATTCTGATTTGTTTTATTGACTGAAACTCGATTTTCTCGATCTGGGTTTGTCCGAATTCAATTCGGAGGCTCTATTTTCAGTCATGGCGATGAATTCTGGAAGTCTTGATAAGTGGAGAGACTATTTTCGCACTGCAAATTCTGATATATTCGCCATAATCGAGCACGCTATTATGGTGGCAGCTTCGGATTGTCCAAAGGAGCTTAGATTGAGAAGAGATCAAATTGCAGAGATTTTATTTTCATGTAAATTGGGTCGGTGTTATGGGTGCGATCGAATTGAGTTGGCGGTGCCAGGAGATGTTGTTGATGATGATGATGAAGATGAAGGTTGTAAAAGTGGGTCTGATACAGATAGGTTTAAATTTGAGGCTGGTGGTTGTAAGGAGAGCAAGGTGAAGAATAGTCATAGAGATGATCATGTTGATATGAACATGAATCATGTTAGCAATTACAGCTTTGGAGAAGCTGAGGCATTGACTGATGAGATTGAAGAAGAAGGTCAGATTGTTGGGGAGGTCTTGAGGATCAAAGAAATTCTTCATAACAGTCAAGATGAGGTTTGTCTCAATTATTTCTTTTAGTATATGTTCAATTAGTTTGTTACCAATTAGCATTTTGTCTTACTAGTCTCAATTTTGTATTTTGTACACTGAAATCAAAGTTTTCACACTTTTGATGGTAATTAATTTTGATAAATTGCAAACTTCTGCTGCTTTCTGAAATTGGTTTTGAAGAATTTTTTCTGTTAATTAGGATATTGTTCTTTGCTTTCATAGTAGCATCTCTACCACTACTTAAAGTTTATCTGTTTTTGAGAACAGTTTGGAAATTTTGAGACCTTGGTTGTTGATCCATTATTAGAGCCTGTAGTTCTATTGATTTTAAGATGGATTTTGAAGAATTTTGCTGTGTATTGGGAGATTGCTTGATTTTAGTTTTGAGTAATTTCTTTTTGTTATCTGGTCTTTGATTGGTGGTGGTTTTTCTGACAGTCTGATTCGGTATTATGCGATTCACTGAGGCGGCTTCAACTAATGGCCTTGTCTGTGGATACTTTGAAGGTTTGAACTGAAACTTTTGTCAGTCACTAATTTTGTTTGCCATTTAATTAGGGGCAGTTACCATCTCTTTAATGTTGTTTTAAGTTTTCTACTGAAATGGGGGCATATAATTCTTTGAACCTCAGTCTACAGAGATTGGAAAGGCTGTTAATGGTCTTCGAAAGCATGGGTTGAGGCAGATTCGGGATCTTGCACGGACGCTCATTGAGTATGAAGTTCTTTCTGCCTCTTTAATACTGTCCATATGTTCTAATTGTGGTCAAAAGAGGAAATAAATGTGTAATTATTGCCACTTTCTGAAAAAAACTAATAATGTTTTTCATGCTATCAACAGAAAATTATACCACTTTACAACACCCAAATTTTAGTTTCTTCTGATTCTAAATTTTGTAGTGCTGATTATTCTATTTGCTCTATCTGTTTTTTTTCTGCATCTGCTCATAAGCTGTGTAATATATTAAGAAGTGCAAAATTTCTAGCCACAAGCCTTATTTTTTTTACTATGACATGTTTGTTGACAGAGATTCAATAGATTTCTAGAATTACTCCCACTTCTGTTGTCTTATAAATTTAGTGTAGATAATAGGTTTGTTTGCACATCCGTCAGCTAATTCTTTGCATAATATGAACCTCACCGTGTTGCATTCTTTAGTTCTGCTATATGGATGAGTTGACTCCTTACCAATGTTTCACCAGAAGCATATGCATAAGTGAAATTTTTTCTCAATTCAATGTCGTTCATATAGAAATTAATTGCTCATTTGGTTCTTCTGCCTGTTTTTTCCTGATTGATTATGGTGAATTCAGTTCATTTCCTTTATAATAAGCTATAGTTAGATGTACCTCTGAATTTTTCTATCAATTGTTTCTGTTTAGCAAAAACATATCCCCTGAAAATTTAATTTAATTGTTGTAAAATGCAGCATGTGGAAGGATATGGTTGATGAGTGGGTCAATGCTACAACAGCTATTGCAGGTAGGTTTATTTTATATATTGTCAATAATTTATACTTAATAAATATATGTACTATATTGTGTCTTTGCATTCTCTGTTAAAACCAAGTTCAAAAGAGGTATGTTAATTGTTCACTTATAGGTGCAGAGGGTACCCCAGAGTCTGTGAACCCATCTGTTGTTGATGAAGAAGAAGGGCTCCCTTCACCTCCACTGGATGAAGGATTTTTCCTGGCTGGTCCGACTACTACAATGGAGCTCTCTCAGGTATCTATATCATTTTCTTCTTCTTACTTAGGAAATCAATTCAGTTATTTTTTATTTATTTTGTGTTATTTATGTGGCTATTAACTGATTGGATTTTGTTTATGTTTGTGTTCCTCAACTCTTGGCTGCAAAGTTCTTCGACTGTATGGATGATGATGGAAGTGAGTTGAACTTGTCATCCCTTGTGCTTTTCTTGTATAGCTTTTGCTATTCAGGTTTCTATTTGAATTCCCCACTTCTTTGAGATTCATGACTCTGAATGGGGATGTTGTTTCAGATCCTCGAAACGGTGGGGAATTCAAGAAGAACCGTGAAAATGGCAGAAAACCATCGATGGAGAGCCAAAATGTTCCAAGGCGGAAGCAGCCGCTTCCCAATGAATCGAAGGTTCCTGCCAAGGACAACAAGGGTGAACAAGTGAAGAAACAAGAAGCTGTAATGAGGAAACAAACAGCTATTGTGAAACCACATAAGCACTCAAACACTGAATCTGGGCCGGGGAGACCAGCAAAACCGAATGTTGTGCAGAAGGTCAATAATGAGACAAAATTCCAGCAAAAATCAGACAAAGTTGCAATCCAGAAGAAGCCATTGGCTGCTCAGCAAGATGTGGGTATCAGTAGTACCTAAAATTCATGTTCTTTTCATCTTCGTGATTTGATTTTATCTGACTGTTGTTACTTGTTTGATTAGAAATTGCAGCGTTCGGATGAAGATGCTGTCAGGATGAAACTTGAAGCAACAAAGAGGAGGCTTGGAGAGCGGTACCAGCAAGCTGAAAATGGTATGTGTGTCTTTCTATAAACTTAAACGAATTAAGTTTTGGTTTTTGTCAATTTAGATCCTGTTGGGTACTAAACAAATTTCAGATTTTTAAAGTCTCCTTCTTTTGCCAAAACCCGAGCATCATAGAGGAATATCTTGAACACAATTGGCTTTGAAATGGCTCTGAATAGAAAAGATGTGACATTGAGATTCAAGAGCTTGTCTCCATCAATTTAAAAGATTCAAAGACATTTAACTAGTTTCAATTTTATCTGATGATGCTTTGTAATTTTATTTTATTTTTGTTAAACAGCCAAGAGGCAACGGATGATACAGGTTATGGAGTTGCATGATCTCCCTAAGCAGGGGCTTGGCCATAAAAATGCACACATCCGACCTGGGAGGAACAATTGGCATGGGGCAAGTGGACGTCGCTAGCTTCTATAATTTTGTAGACTTGGTTCCAATAACTTTGAAGTTTCTTCAACATTATGAAGTAAATATCCGGCTTGCTGTGGCTTAACCTGCCTGAGCATCAACAATGGCACTACTGATATTGGAAGGTTCACGCATTTGAAATTTCTGTCCAGATTTAAGTACAGACTTCTTCACTGGAACTTGAGGCGGGTATGACTTATGCGGTATTTATTGTAGAAAACCCTAATTTGCATCCATCCATTTGATAAACCCTGCAGAAACATTATTTTTCTCCTTTTTCATAGTTACATTGGAAGTCATAAAGTTGCACAAAATAAGTGCATTTTCACCAGATCACATCACACACATGTTGTAAAACTACTAAATGTTCTTTTTTAAGGCAATGAGTCGATCGTTAGCTGACTGAAACCTAGCTGTTATTATGTTATACTGTAATATTGTTGGGACAGATTGTAGAGGAGATGTTACTTTTTATTGAACAAGTTTTGGAAGCATAAAAAATAGCACTTCAGTTGTTATTGACGGTGGCATCAATCCAGTTCATTTTTCAAGTAGGTTGGTGTTATTTTCTTGACGAGGAAACCCTTTTGTCATCCAGAAAGTTTGGAGGGTTCACAAATGCTATTGTATATTTTGGTCTTCCATTTCAAAGGTCCTTTGTGACTTTCTAGTCAACACATGCTAAATAAGCTTAGTGAATGATGGGTTTTCAATTTGTCCTATGATACTAATTTCACTATAATTAAAATTTGAGCAAAACACATAAAATCTCCCTCGACTTGTAACATTTTTCAGTAAATCCTTCTCGTCTAATTTTTTACCAAGGAACCCTCCTCAACTTGTAGTCATTTCCAATAAATCTCCTTTGTATAATTTTTTTACCAAAGAACCCCCCTCAACTATTTAAGGAAGTAAAACAGTTGATATTTGGCCTAAAATGTCATTTTATTTAAATCTTAATTTTTTCAAACTTCAAAAATTCATATCTCACAAATTGTATATCCAAATATTGCAAATAATATATGCAAGGAAAGCTTATAAAACAAGGATTCCATAAATATATGATTTGTTTAACAAAACCTCATAATCAGAGAGAGAAATAAACAATCTAAACATCTATTGCAATAATCTTATTTTATTTTATTTTATTTTTTATAAAATACGCAGGTTATTTACAAGAAAATTTTCAAAACTATTTATTTTCATATGGAACACAACATATAAAAAAAATAGCCCCAATAAAGACGGAATATTCATTTTTATTTATTTTTTAAATGGTGAGTCAATAAAAGAATGAAAATACTTTGACGCAAAGTATGATATCTCGTGGATATGATCTCTGTTGGGGCTATTTTTTTTTATTTTTTTATTTTATATATTCAGCTCCATATGTAAATGAATAATTCTGAAAATTTTCTTACTGTAGTAGATTTTTAGATTGCTCATTTCTCTCTGATTATGAAGATTTGTTGTACAAATTTTATATTTTTGTTTATTAGAAGTGGTGGTTTTTATATTACATTATTACATTTTGGTCCAAATATTAACTATTTTACCTCCTTCAGACATCAACTATTTTACCCCCTTCAAATAGTTGAGGGAATTTTTAGGTAAAAAATTAAATAAGAGAGATTTATTGAAAAATATTACAAGAGGAATTTTTTGATAAAAAAAATAAACAAGAATAATTTACTAAAAATAGCTACCAGTGGAGTGGGGTTTGTGTACTTTGCCCTTAAAATTTTGATTTAGTGAGCTCTTTTGGTTATTGCTGAATAAAATAATGGTTGATATGGTTTCCAATAGGTGCTGAAGTTTGACGCTGTAATGGGAATATATTCTGTTTACTTTCTAGGTTGGATTGCGTGTATCTCTCTCTCTCTCTCATATTTTGAATTTGGAAGCTAAAAAGCTTTCAAATTCAAAATGACAACTTGAAATGCCCGGTCTTCGTATAAATTTATTCTTGTGTCATTCTATATTCATTAATAAACAATAGAGTAGAAATTTTGTGTCATTTCAATTTCACTACATATTACATTTTTTTTCTTTGCAACAAAAATAGGATTAAATCTTTACTTCTAATAATGTTTCCAATATATATTGCATAATTTCAAACGTATGGAATGTGTTATGTCGACAAATGACATATATTTAACTCCATATGCTGTGAAATATAAAAATTTTATAAGCATGATAGTTGATATTGACACTTCACGCAAAATCTAAAGGCTCACTTCAATTTTTAATTTTAATACTTAAAATAATAAGTCTGTCATTCATTTCCTAAATAAAGTCCGTAAAATTTATTTGAAAAGATGGTACAATTTAATTAATTTTTCTTAAATTTTTTAAAAACTTACATCACTCTTTAATAACCAACCAAGGAAAAGTAGTATAAATGAATATTAAAAGACACAATAATTAAAATATAATCCATCCTCACTTTTAATTTGATAAAGAATAAAAATAAACAATATCCATAGATTTTCCAACTTTGCTCACAACAATGGGACTCCAGCCACATATAGTTGATATGCTATATTTTCTCTCCCTAAAAGTCAAAAGTAGGATTGGGACACTTTTGTAGTGGGTTAACCAAATGATTGCTCCACTGCCCTTTATTGATTTGATCTTTAAAATGAGATTGCAAGGGATAAGGGTGTCCTTGTTCTTATCTATCCCGATACCTCACAAACCAAACCGGACTTAAGTATTTAGCCTAAAATATTTTTAACAATAATTTATTCAAAACAATGTACTTGATATTAATCTCAAATTAAATCTTTGTCAAAACCAAAAAAAATAAAAAAATAATATTTTACTTGAAAAAAAAAATACACGCGCGCGGAGTCTTTGTTACATAATTAACTCAAAAAAGCAACATCATTACATTTAAAACTCAACATTATCATATCGAAGATGTAATTTTCGATGTAATTATGGTATTATATTTTTGATTTAAATTACATAATAAAATATAATACAAAAATTTGTACAAGAGAGAATGTTGATGAAAGATGATTCATTTAAGTGTCTTTTATTCTTCCTTTGTTGAATCGTTTTTCAACAATATTTTTTTAGTAAAGATCTATGAAATTTTGCTCAATATTTTTTTATTTTATTTAAATTATTGGGTAGAGAATGAACTAAGAAGAAGATGATACAGAAAGAGAAAGAGAAAAGTTTGTAATGGAATTCAGAAATAGAAATAGAAATAGGTTAAATAATGGACAATATAGAAATTTGATATTTATTACTTAAAAAATTGTATAACTTGCTAGAAGTCGATTAGAAAGTATGTTTTATTGGCTTTGGTCAATCGAACTTTTAAACCACTGATACTTTTTAAAAGTTCGTTCTTAAAAATTTTACTAAATGTTTTTTATTATTCACAAAGGACTTTCTGGACTTATAAACCCGTTTTGAGACTATAGAAAGCTTGTCAATCAAGCCCTTAGACATGGAATTAAAAAGGATTATTGTTGGTTAGATGATTTGAAAGGCCTAATATCTCAAATGCCAAAAATTAAATCTATTTTTCTTTCATTTTCTCTCCCACTAATTAAATCTGTGAATCAATTAATAAAACAAGGCCATAAATAAAAAGTTGCTTCCATCAATATTAAGTACCAGAGAGAGCCAACCATTTAAAAGTATCAATAATCAAAATTAATAAATCAATCTTGAGTTTTCTAAGCTATCATGCATGAAACAAAAACAGGTTAAGTACAGTCGAAGCTTGATTTATTTTATTGATTCATGCATTTCATTACTCATAAATTGAAAGGTTGGTTCAGTTAATTGGTTTGGTTAACTAAGAGATTGGGTGATATATCATACCAGCCCAATTTTTCTGTGTTTTAAAAGTGGTGGATGATAGTTGAATCGTGAAAGTGGTCAACTTGGTGCAATGTTTGACAACCATTTTTGCCTAATTAAGTAAAATATATTGGTAACACCACCGTAGGTCCATAGTAAATACTGTAACAGCAAACAGTATAAAAAACTATATATATATATATAAAATAAAATTTAGATGACCTTTTTTTAATTACTTATTTTGTTTCTTAATCATGCAACATTTTTATTTTATTAAATATGTTTTTGTTTTTATTAAATTTATAACAATTTTTATGTTATCAATCATGTTTTTAATCCCTATTGAACACACTTTGCAACAAAAAATTATTTATGTCTGAAATAAACAAAAGCGGCTGTGAAACAGTCTCAAGTTGATGTTTAATTTGTTAGATTTTTTATTTTTATTACATGTCATCTCATATGTAAATTTGTAATATTTAACTTTTTAATATCATTTCTAATATTCTATCCTACCCTAATTTTGATTGTTTAACTTTCTCTTATCTTATGGGAAAACAAATAGAAATCCTCTTTCATCTATAGTTGGTTGTATTTGTCCATATTAATTAAAATTAAAAACCACGTATCATAGAATTGGCAAGTACACTCCAATCAATTAAGATTGATAATCATAATGCCGTTTGATTTTTAAAAACATACCACCACAAATAAATTTTATGTGCTCAAATTTCCAAGAATGTCTCAATTGGTGTGTGCCTTCTAAGTTCTATAAAAATAGGTCTTGAATTGGAATTACCTTGAAAAATTCGAATCATTCTTTATTCTTTTTTCTTTTTTTCTTTTTTCTTTTTATCTTTTATTGAAAGAGTACAAATATCAAAATAAAAGTACAACTACTTGTGGTCATAATACCCATGTCCCTACTTGTAATACTATATTAGTATGAACCGAATTTCAATTTTATGTAAATAATTGTCTTGAGACATAAATTGAAGAAAAAAAACAATTGAAAACTAAAAATACCATAAAAATACTTTGTGATATTTTTATTATCACCATAAAAATAACAAAGCAACGCAATCTATAGGATTTATTGGTCATTTGGTCCTTTCAAATAAAATTATGACAATAAGATTGTAACAATTCAAGTAGCTAAAATGTACATGTTAAAATGGATAATAAGAGTAACTAAAAAACTATATGTATAATAATGAATGTGTGGGGAAGAAACTAAGAATAATCTAAAGGTAAGAAAATGTGGAAGTATGAATTATTTCATTTATTTATTTTAGAATTTTTTTTTTCTCATGGAAAGAAATTTATATATACTTTTTTATTCTTAAGAGAGACTTTTTTTTTTTTTTTAACCAAGCAAGAATTTCTTTTATTTTAGTTTGGGACAATAAATCATTCATTGTAAGCGTTATAATGATGACGTGGTGTAACCTACAGTTACAAACACTTTACCAAAATAAAAAACTGATATATATGCTTTGTAGAATATTTGTAACAGTCAATTGTATCATACAAGGTACCTATTATGTCACTAGACCATTTTAATGTATAAAGATTAAATCTTTGAAAGAAAATGATAGTTTTGAGTTGATTTAGGGGCATTATGGGGTTTTCCTTTAGGATATAAATTTCGTTCTTGACATGGTCACTTAGAATACGTGATTTTAGGGAGATTTTGATCAGGGCCATACATTCAATGGAAGTTCTAAAGGGGAACTACCTAGTTGATGTATACTTTGGTCGAAGTTTCTTTTGAACAACCATAATAATCAAACATCGGATCCAAATCTCTATCACAGATAACTAAATTCTCGAAATACACGTCCACCACGTGGCACACACATCAAAATCCCGACTATCAAGGTCTGATCTAGGGGCATTTAGGAATTTTTATTTGAAAAATAAATTCCGGCTTTGACATGATCACATAGAAAATATGATTTTAGGAGGTTTCTTAAAAGGAGCAATTTCATAAATGAAATAGCTGGTTTGAAAAGATGCCACGATATCCACTTGGTTCATACCAGACATCTGAATATGCCTATATGTCCCATATTATATTTGGGTTTAGTCATACCATTATTTAGGTCATCATTTAGCCAATTTGAGATCCATCCTAAGCAATTAAGGTACTTATTATGTCATTAGAGTATTTTAATGTATAAAGATTAAATCTTTGACAGAAAATGAGAATCGTTTCAACGACTACAATAAATAATTTTTAGTATGGGACAAATATTTGTTTACGTATATTTGTCGCTTGGTGATTGGACCGAAACTAATGGTCCTAACCATTTAATAATTTTTTTTAAGTACGAAATGTTTTGTGCATTTCTATTGGGATCTGCGTTGGCATAATAAAGGTCATAACAGTAAAATTACCCGTAATAAATTAAACTTCTATAGTTCCAACGGTTAAAATGAAGAATGAAGAGCGCTCCAGCGAATTTAGACACCAAATCCAAGCCGTTGGATCAGCAACCAATCCAACGGTTGAAATTTCAAAAAAATAAGACCGTTGAGAGAAGCGTCGCTTCCCCAGCTTCAAAATGGGGTGTGTCTCAGTCCCCTTTTCTTATTCGTGCTATCCATCACAGAGAAATAGAGCTGTAGAGAGAGAAAGAGAGGAGAGAGAGAGAGAGAGAGGCGGTGAGGACTACAGACCCAGAAGAGGGAACGTTCTTCATCGTCATTTTTAGAGATTTGGAGTAGGTCTTGGACAGATTCAAGGTTCTCAAATGGCTTCAAGACCCGCCGTTCAACAGCAAAACAGAGGTATTACATAACTTCCTCTCTCTCCCTCTCTCTCTCTCTATATATATATATTGGTGGCTGTTCTTGCCTCTGTTGTTTGATATTTTATTTCTCGTCGTTTTAATCTTGGGTTATTGAAATTTTTAGATTTTAAGGCTCTTGGGTGTTAAATTTCTTTGTTTTCCTTTAACCATATGTTACATGGATAATGGATTAATATAGTATTTCGATGATGTTTTAAGATCAGATATGATTTTTGCCTTCTTTTACTTATTTCATCATCATACTTGTTGAGTTTCTCCTATCTTGAGTATGATTTCTATTTACTAATCTGTTCAACTTATACCCTATACTATCTTATTGGTTGATTGGCCTTTCTGGGTTTATCACTTTCTTTGAAATTTCAATGTCTTAACATTTTCTCTGTATTTCATCATCAAGACGATTCTTTATATTTAATTCTCTCTGGTTCTGTATTGTTTCTAAGTAAGTTTCTGGTTGAAAGGGTATTGTTCCATCTCTGATTTGATTTCTGATTTCAAAATAAATTTTTGGTTGAAAGATTATTGTTCCATCTCTCATTTGATTTCTGATTTCTAAATAAGTTTCTGGTTCTGTCTCGTTTCTGGGATTCTAACCTGATTTCATCGTTTTGATTTTTTGATTTTCTGGTGGGTTTCAAGAATTTCATTGAGAACTTTTAACGAATGTTTTACAGGTGAGGCAGTTGCTGCTGGGGGTATCAAGCAGAAGAACATGGCAGCCGAAGGGAGAAACCGCCGTGCCCTGGGTGACATTGGAAATTTGGTTACTGATCGAGAAGGAATTGATGGCAAGCTACTCCCTAAAATCTCTCGCCCCATTACAAGGTCTATCTCCCTCTCTCTCTCTCTCTCTCTCTCTCTCTTCGTGTCTCTGTGTGTGTGTGTTATATAGAACCCTTTCTTAGTTATGTGTTTGATCTATAAATTGATCATTTTTTTCTGCTGTTTCAGGGGGTTTTGTGCACAATTACTTGCCAAGGCACAAGTTGAAGCAGCTGAAAACAATAAGGTTTGCCCTCTTTAACAGTTGATCATGTGGTGTTAATTAATTGCAGGCCTAGCGGTATTAGGGCCTTACTTCCCAGAGGGAGGTCAAGGTTTTAAGCCTTAGTAGTGACATGTGTGTGTGAGTACCAACTATGAAAAATAAAAAATAAAAATTGCAGTTCCTCTGATGGGTGTTCTTGGTACCTTGGATTTGCAGAAACCAGTCACAGTTAATGTGGAAGGAGGCATTGTTGTCAATGGAGCCGTAGCTGTGGCTAAAAGAGCTGCACCACAGAAGAAAGTTACTGTGAAACCGAAGCCCGAGGCTGTGATTGAGATAAGTCCTGATACTGTAGAAGAGGTCAAGAAGCAGAAGCCCGAAAACCGGAAAAAGGCGAGTGATGGGTCATCGCGATCGCGAAAGATTACCCATTCTCTTACTTCAGTCCTCACTGCTCGTAGCAAGGTGCCCTTAATTCTCCAACTCTAAAGATTATGTAGAAAAGAAAAACATTTTTTGGGTATTTTTGGTTGCCTCTTTTCCTAATTTAATCCCACATTGCAGGCTGCTTGTGGCCTAATTGATAAACCAAAGGAGCAAATAGTGGATATTGATGCTGCAGATGTGAATAATGACTTGGCAGTTGTGGAATACGTTGAAGATATGTACAAGTTCTACAAGATAGTTGAGGTATATATATCATCCTGTTTATTTTATTTATCTCTGTGTGTTTTTATTTTGTGTTTGATGTCTGATTAGTATTCATTTAAAATTTTACATTGATATGCAGACTGAGTTCCGGGTTCATGACTATATTGATTCCCAACCCGAGATAAATGAGAAGATGAGAGCAATTCTGATTGATTGGTTGATAGAAGTTCATCACAAATTTGAACTTATGCCAGAGACCCTTTACCTCACAGTCAACATCATCGATCGCGTCCTTTCGATGAACACTATGCCACGGAAGGAACTGCAGTTAGTGGGCATCGGTGCAATGCTTATGGCCTCTAAATATGAAGAAATTTGGGCTCCTGAGGTACATAAAACATCTTGATGCATCATAAATGTTTCCTCTGCTTTGGAATGACTAGCTTATATAATTAACAATAAGAGAATTATTGCAGGTCAATGACTTTGTTTGCATCTCAGACAGAGCTTATACTCATGAGCAGGTGTTGATCATGGAGAAGCGCATATTAGGCGTGCTTGAATGGAACTTGACAGTTGCTACGCCTTATGTGTTCCTCGTCCGGTTCATCAAAGCTTCTATTCCTGATCAGGATGTGAGCATTTCTTAAATCCTAATAATATATATCGTGGTTGTGATGATTGTTATGAGTTCTGTGTCAAGATGTGATTTTATTTTTTGGCTACTGATTTTTGTTTTTTTTTGTTTTTGGGTTGTTTGCCTTATAAAATTAGATGGAGAATATGGTCTATTTTCTGGCTGAATTGGGTATGATGAATTATGCCACTGTAATGTACTGTCCATCAATGGTTGCTGCCTCAGCAGTCTACGCTGCCCGTTGCACCCTAAACAAGAGCCCGGTTTGGAATGAGACACTTAAGCTGCACACCGGTTTCACAGAGCCACAGCTAATGTTAGCTTCATTTCCCCCTTCTGTTGCTTTTCACTTGTGTTGGTATATTTTAAGATTGGTACAAAAATTTTACTTTTTTTTTTTAATCTGTTTTGAACAGGGATTGTGCTAAACTACTTGTTAGCTTCCACTTGATGGCTGCAGAAAGCAAGCTGAAGGCTATCTACAGGAAATACTCTAATCCACAGCGAGGCGCTGTTGCTCTGCTCCCACCTGCCAAGTCTCTCTTGGCTATGTCATGAGCAGAAAAATGATTTGCAGTGAAGAGAAGGACATTGAATTTTTTGTATGTAATATCTTCAGTGAGTCTTTTAATCAGTTAAGAACTAACTAAACAAGTGTTTGAATCTTTTTTACGTTCTGCTTCTGAAACAGTTTTGAAGCATCTTTTTCCCCATGACTACAATTAGTTTCAAGCTCATTCATCAATTCATTTTATTTTTCAATTCGATATTACCAATTGATGTTTGTGTTGTTGCACCAAAATTGCTTTGCCTTGTTGATTAATACCAACAGAAGTTTCTTCTAATTCATTATTTGGTTTGTTGAGTCAGATTATGTGATGTGCAACATCGCCTCACTTGATTTTGCAAGCACTCTGATGTTGGCTCAAATTGTGAAATGATGATGGTCTTGATTAGTGTATTTTGACAACAATTGTGTGACAGTTTTAATCATGAAATCATTATATGCTGAAATTTATGTTCATTTTGGCTTGAACTAATGTTCCTTTATTTTTAACTGATGCACTTTTGGGACTAGAAGTGCTTTGACACCAAGAACAGAAGAGAAGTACACACAATACCTTAATTATTGTCTTTCGATCTCTTCATCCAGTTTGGCTAGCCAAATCATTCGCAGTGTATGACAAACACGGCGCAATTCGCCAGGAGGTGGAAGGTTGTCTTTTATGACAGGAACTTGCACAAAGTTATCAATCCACGAAGCAAATGAAGGGTATTTTGTTGAGTCTACTAACTCAATACCAGCAGCTTCCTCTGCAAACTTGAACCAATATGCAAACACACTTGCCACAATATCAAGAAATCCGATTTCCTCCCCTCCAAAGAACTTCTTCCCATTTATCTCTCCATCAAGAAATTGCAACCCTTCAGCTATTGAATCAAGTGCCTTTGCTTGATCTTCCCCGATTGAATAAAATGCCTTATGCGACGCTCCATACAGCTGCACAAACAACGTTTATACTATCTTAGAACTTATATATATAGTTTTTTTTTTTTTTTTTGGCTTAAAACTATGATCCTTTTTGAACATTAAAAACGATGAAGAATTAGAATGTGACCTTTTCATCCACAAATTTAGCCCAGAAACGCATGTCGGCTCTCTCCATGGGACTTTCTGGCAAGATAGGATTATGTTTCCAAGTCTCGTCGATGTACTCAAGAATGGTTAGTGATTCTGATATCGGTTTTCCACCATGAATGAGCACTGGAACTTTCTTGTGAACCGGATTCGAGTCAAGAAGCAATGAGCTCTTGTTCTTGAGATCTTCTACTATGAATTCATATTCTATGCCTTTCAACTTCAATGCCCACTCAATTCTGTGACTGAATGGACTTAGCTTTGTACCCAAAAGCTTCAAATCCTTTCCGTCCATGACTTTCTATGCTATTACTGTATTTTTGTGCAGCTACAAGGGTTCTTATATTTAGAAGATGAAGTAGACTTCTTAATTTTATTTATTTATTTTTAAAAAGAGTTTTAGTCAATGTCAAATAAGGTGTTTATTGTTGTAGTTATTAGACAATTATTGATACAGATGTGATCATGTGCATTTTGCTGCCATTCTTAAATCGATTTGCATTGGACCACGGTTCTCAAGTTTCAATCAATCCTTGTTGAATACAAACAACACGATGACAAATATTTTATTATTAATTTTTTTCCACTTTTGGTTCTAGGGAATATATATAATACTATTTCAATCCGTCTACTCTTTCTAATCCGCTACCTAATTTAGTGAGTTTTAAAACATTTTACGAAAAAAATTGAATAATAATATATTTAACAAGTATAAGCATAAACTTTGTTGAGTTATTGATTATAAATCCAAAAGATGATAAAAATTAATGGAAAAAATGAAAACACAAATAATAAAATATATTTTATTTATTTTTTTAAAGCTAAAAGTAGAGTAAAATGAATTATGACTCTTATTTTCATTGTAATAGAATAGGGTTACAAATGATTTGAGTTGAGTGAACTTATCGTATTTGGACTCGACTCTTTGATTTGTGGGATTAACTCTCATGGCTCGGGATCGTGACAAACTTAAATTTAGTTTATTATTATTTTGAAAAATTCGGACTTTACTTATTTAATAATAAAATTTGTTTAAATTTAACTTGCAGTGTTAATGAAATTATTCGAATTTAAACAAAATTATATTAATGAACATGTTGATGAACCCATGTATTTATGTTAATGAATACAAATTTTAAAATTAATTTTAAACTCAATTTAACGAGCCGAACTCTTCATGGAGAGATGGATCCAGTTTTAGTCCTACTAAATGAAATAAAATGCGAGAGACCGTCATACTATATACTTTCCTATGTGTATAAGGTAGTGGCGTGACAGTCACGTGACTGATACACGCGTGGCATTCCCTGAATAGCCAGGAGGCTGGCTCTCCAAAAACGCTGACTCGAGGGAAGATATTATTTCAGACCAAAAAAGAAAAATTCTCTCTCCTGGTTTGGGTTGGGGTTTGGGGATAAGAGGGGTTGTTATATTGGTTCTCATGCGTAGAATTAGAAACACCGAAGTCTCTTCTTCTTGAACCTCCCGCCGGGAGGAGATAGAGAGAAGAAGAACAGACTCACTTCTAGAGAGAGAAAGAAAGGGTCTGCAAATAAATATACGTAATTTATACACGTAGAGAGAGAGCTCTACGATTCGCCATGGATTCAGCTCCACCAAGGACCGATAATGACATCGTTTCTCAGAACGAAAAGGGGGCATATACGTCAATGGTCGATCCCTTCTTGGTTGAGGCTCTCCAAAACCCTCGTCATCGTCTTACCAGTCAGTTTCTTCCTTTTCTTTTCTTTCCTCTCTTTTCTTTTATTTTCTTTTAATCTATATTTGTTATTCATAGGATCGATTAAAGGTGTTAGATTTATTTCGTTTTTCAGCTTTTTCCTGTAATTTTTGACCCTGGGGTGCATTCTTCTTAACGTCTCCATTGGTTATGTATGTATGAACTTGTTGCATTGACTGGACTGAATTAGGGCTAGGATTTGGATGCAGTGTTTATTGGGGATTAATTTTCTTGGGATCTGTAGCTGTGTCGTATGGAGGGTTTCAATAGGCAATTAGGGTTCCCTTTTTTCGGTTTCGATGTATGCAATTATAGAAATTTTGTCACACTGAATGTTTTTCTGGTGTCTTTTCTGTTATTTTGAATCCATTTAGTGTTACTTATAAAATCAAAATTGAATCCATTTAGTGTCTCTTCTTGTATTAATTGAAATTAGTGTACTTCATATTTATATGCTTTTACATGTATTTATGTGTGTAAATGTGCTACTTGCTTAGAGAAACTGACATCTGACTCCCCTTTTTTTTTTTCAATAAGTTTTAATTAATTTAAGCACAATTAAAAAGCTTTTATCAAGATTGAATCGTAGTGACTAAAAACCAGGTCTCATGAAAGTTTGAAGAAGCACTAAATCTTAATGATTATTTTCTGAATCTTCATAGTTTAAACTTTACAGAAATTGGTTTGAGAACCAATGTCATTTTATAACAGAAATTGAAGATCCTAATTTTTCTTAGAAGGATCTTTTTACCGACAATTGTTTGCTTCAAGTCTCAAGATTTGCTATTTATCATTTGTCTGTATCTCAACAGCCATGTTATATTTTACTACTATTGATTGACACTGTTCCGGATTTGAGTGGCTTATGTGACATTAGTTGAACCGTATGTAAAATACCTTTGTATTTTTATAAATTAGGTCGTTTGATTGGTGAGAGTAACTTGACACCAATGCTCCTTTACTTATGGGGAAAAAACAATGACTGGATTTTGATGTTCAATCCATACAGGTTCAATATACTTTTTTTTGGTCTACGAATTTTCCTGCACTCATGGTTTCTATAATTTGATGAACCTTTCTTTGTATTTTTGCTCTCTCGTCTGTTTCTTTTCCATGCTTCTACTTGCTCACAAAGTGTTGTGTCGTGACGTTCACTGGGTAGACACTCTTTTCCAGAATAGTATCTAATTGGACTTTGAAAATAGATGGAAGCACATATTTGAATTGAGTTGGCATAGTAATGAGCAGACATGATATTCTTGTAATTTATATTACTTAAATTTTCTTTCAACCGCTATTATATTTATGTATCATGACTTACCAAAGGGTGGATTAAATAAATTCTAATAACCTTGCACAAATATGTTAGGAAATTGAGTCATGTGTTGGCATATTCCTAATAAAAACTGAGTTGTATTCTGTCAAAGTGTCGTCAAGTTGTTTGTGGATATCAGTTAAAGAAATGGCAGACAATTTTTTTTAGAGATTATAGTGTACTGAATCACATCTAGTTGCAGGTAATATGACTATATTATGACCTTAGTTTTGTCGGGTTTATATAATGTTTTGGAAAAAGTTTTTCAACATTGGCTTTTTATTTTTTATTTTTAGCATTGCTTAAAAACTTGGATTATAACAAGGAAAAAAAATGCTTGTTGATCAAATGGTTGACTGATCGGGACTTACTTTCCAGTGTACGTCAATCGATGTGTCAATCGGATGAGGTGTTACCCAAAAAAACTGAAATAAAATCCAGAATGTATTGTTCTAATGGTCAATCAATCTAATGGTTCACACTTCACAGAAGGCTTCGATTGAATGCTTGATCGATTGAACTTGTCGGTCTGCTGTTTTTGGAAACTATCTCTACTTAGAGTTTAATAGGTTTTGACCACCTAAAATGTTTAGGACTCCCATATGGGCTATAATTATGGCCAAGTTAGGACATAGATATTGAGGAGAACAAAAGGGCAAACCTAAGAGTTCTTTATTCGCAGAGAGAATTTCATAGAGAGATTACATAGACAAAGACCATTGATGGGTGATTGAAAACTCTTCAAGTAGCTGTTCATTCAGATTTTTTTCATTCAACCAAACAAATAACAGTAGAGATGGCTAGTTGCTATCAATCAACTAGAAAAGCTGATTTGTGAGTAGCGTATGTTGTAGACAAGTGGAAGCACAATATGGAGATGTTTGAGGGTGACTGAAAGTTTGGTGTTAGTCTGTATTTGGATGTAACTGAAGGTTTGTCTGTATTTGGAGGTGACCGAACTGGTAACCTGGTCGATTTTTTCTCTGCTGTGGGTTTTTTCACGTGGAAATCTTGTGTCTCAACTCTTCTCTAATTTGCTTTGTTTATTGCTTTTACTAGCTTGTTTGTGATTTGACTGGTTAGGTTTGAGAATTGAATCTTCATTAATAATTAGACTTCAAGTTGAATCAATTGGTAGTTGAAAAGTTAGTCTATAAGAAAAAAATCCGCAATCACCTCTCCTTTAGGTCTAAACCACTGCTTGTACTCTGGAGCCTTGGGCAACAGTCCTAAGTTTTTATAAGGATAATCGGCTAATTTGAGTATGGCATTTGATTATTATGTATGACAGTATTAATGTCCAATTCAAGAATCGTTTCTTTGTGATGATCCTATCTCAGTTCTCTCTCTTCATTTCAGCCTGAAATTGGATAGCTTTTGATAGTTAGGTAGGAAGATAGTGTCAGGGTTTTCTAATCTATATCATATTTATTTTTCTTTAAATAAACTTTTCTCTTAATTTGTTTCTCCTAATGTTTAGGTAGAAAGATAGGATCAGGGTGTTGTACAGTATATCGTATATGTTTTTCTTCAAATTCACTTTTCCCTTGGTTTGTTTCTCCTAATTTGTTATTATTTTCAGTTCTGCGAATGGAACTCGAAATTCAAAAGTTTCTGCAGAATTCTGATCAACAGCAGTTTGAGTTCCAGCATTTTCCTACTTCCTACCTTCGCCTTGCAGCGCACCGTGTTGCTCAACACTACGGTCTGCAGAGTATGGTTCTAGATAATGTCTTAGATGGCCTGGGAACTAGAATTATGGTGAGAAAAATGACAGAAAGCAAATACCCTTCTGTCTGTTTATCCGAAATACCTGCTAAACAGCCGGACAGTGACACACACAAGCGGATTAAAATTGTTAGCAGGCCAAGACTTGATAAAGCTTCCTCAGATGAAGCCAATGAACTGGGGATCAAACGCAATCCTGTGAGAACTGTGGAAGAGAGGAAGGAAGATTATGACAGGGCACGAGCTCGCATTTTCAGTAACTCTAGTAGTCGTGAGTCGGAAGATACATTGTCTCAGGATTCATTAGATGGGAAAATTTTGAGTTTGAGCAAAGATGAGAATGGAGGTTGCAGGAACTGCATGGTTGATTCAGAGAAAATCCTCTGCGTCAGAGATGGTGGTACTTCTTCCCAAGTTGCTATTTTCAGAGATAGGGAGAAGGATCGCACTGACCCAGATTATGACCGAAGATATGAAAGGTAGGCATTTATTCCTGTATTTGAATTGGAATATTTTGAGTTATTTAGGTGGAAGGTACCAATTTCTGTTTGAGACTATTTTTGGTTGGCCCCTTCTGATATATCCCTTAAAGAGTTCAATAGTACCTGCAGAACTGCCTGTGTCATCATACTTGGTCTAATCAGAAAATTGAAAGTATTTATTGTACTTCATCTTTCTTAATTATTTAGTAAAAGAGGAGTGCTAATGGCAGTCGCTGAGGCGACTGTCCATTCACACTCGCCCCTTTTCATTGGATAATTAAAACTCATTAAATACTAGTAGCCTATTTTGAAGGGGGCATTAATAGCATAACATAAACAGCTGTGTGTGTGTGTGTATATAAACAGCTGTCTGCCAAAATATATATAAATACTCCTATATATTTATATCTGTCACGGACTCAAGATGTGATTTGACAAAATCCCTTGTTCAAATCAAAAGAAAAGAAAATAACCTTTAATTTATTGGATCCAAATGCCTCGATACCTCAAACCAGTGCATCCTCTTGCATTCTTATTCTTCTTCCAGTGCAGAGAAAACCTGACGCTCATGAAACAACTATGCATTTCAATGTAAAAGAATTATAATAAAATCCTGTAACGTTTTTAACCATACATTTGTGTATGTCTATATGATATATATATATATATATAAACACTAATCTTCAGTTACGTGTATATGTATAATTATATATACGTGTGTGGCTGTTTATATATACAAACATATATATGGATTGAGGGGAAGAGAGAAGAAAGAAGAATGAGAATGAAATGTTAAAGGGGTGGGTAATTTAGTCCTAAAAATGTTATGCTTTCAATGCCTGATGAAAATAGGATACTAATAATTAATGTTTAAAATTAGCCAATGAAAAGAGCGAGTGTGGATGGACAGTTAGCCATTCCTCATAGTAAAAAAGTTGTTTTTGCCTTTAAGAAGCTAGTTTTTTTTTTTTTTTTTTCCTCCGAATGGTAAAGCATGCACACACACCCTTTTACCCACACCGGGGCTCAAAGCCTTAAACACCTCCCCTCCTCTTTAAGGATAGGGAGGTTATACCGCTAGGCCAAAGGCCCTTTGGTAAGCTAGCTTGATATACTTATAGAATTATAGTATTTATAATTTATATTAGCTATTAAATATTACAACTGGTTTTGATATAAAATGTGATTTTGAATAAATTTATATTTAAAAAAAAAATCCTGCAAATACTGGAAATGAAAGGGTTACATGAGTTGGTTTCCAACTGATGAATTGTTAATGGATCAGGCTAGAGTTTTATTTTCAAAATCCATGTAACGGACAGGTTGTTTATGGGTTGAAGTCATGTGTCACCATAGGTACCCAACTTGACTGGATCTGGTAATTTAGTAAGTCTTTGTTATTGATCCTGATATTTTAAGATAAGTAGATCCTCCAATGATCCAAAGCTAATTTATTTTTTTTAACTGGTGCAGGTATGTTAGGAGTATACCAGCTAATCAAAGTGAAAGCTTTGTGCCTTTCAATATGCAGAATTGTCAGCCTCCCTTTGTGCAGTATGATGCCGTTTTTCCTCAGATGGGTCAGATGCCAAGGACTCATGGTTCTATCAGCTACAGTACCCCTGTCATGAGCCCTTTTTGCACAATGGGGCATCAGACATCTAGGAATCCTGTTTATATGCAGTTGCCAAATCCTGCCGTGATGTATGCACAATCATATGATCAATTGAGATATGCTTTTTTCCAGGTATCCTTTGGTACCTTATCTATTAGGGCTTTGTTCTAACCCCAATTTTTTTAATAAAAATTAGTATGGTTTAAAATTTTTGCAATACAATGGAATAATTATAGTTAAAATACAGTGAACAATATCTGTAGGATACTACTGGACATACTGGGATATTTGTAGTTTATAAGATACATGTGGGGCATATCATGGTATGAAGGCTGTAATTTTGTTTATTATTTGAAGAACACTTGACTTGAGAGGTTGGGTTTTGAGCATTTTGTGTTAAATCTTCAAGCTTGAAAATTTTGGATAAGTCAGTCTTGAAATGGGAATTTGATTATACTGGTTTACGTTCTCCAGTCGGCAGATTGAAATGTTATCGTTGTTGACACTGATTCTATGCCTTAGAGATGGTTTGACCTTCAATTGCAATGGAATACGAGGAATATCATATCTACTGCCAACCCTTCTTGTTGAACCATTTTTATTTTTTCTTTGCTTTTCTGTTTGTCTATGTGCCTATGTATGTATTGCTTGCTTATGTAATTAATTGACGCAATTTTACTGTTGTTGCAGGCCCACTACTGTCAGCAGCCTCTGAGTTTTGATTACTCCCAAACCATTGATTGAGTTAGATATGGAAGGTCCATACGATGCAATTTTTTTTTTTTCCTCCCATTCAGGATATTGTCATAAGACAACTTTATAAAATTGTTGTTCTCATAGTTTATCATTTTTATTTTTGGTGACTTGATTTTAGGGCAAGAATACCATATTTACTATTTATTATTTGATTGTAGTTGAATCTTATATATATGTGTCTGTCTGTGTTACATGGCCTTCTCCCCTATTTTTTAGACTCGGCTGTTTATTTAGATAGGTATGATATTCGATCTATATATAGTATATTGTGTTGTAGTGTGAATTATTATACCATCGATAAAACCGAAACGTTCTGAAAGAAGTGAAATTTTAAGTGGTAAGTCATGAATTGGATTTCTTCTGAGTTTATTTATATTGCGTTGTTAAATGTGCTTGATTGGCCCCAATGGTTACCAATTCGAGTCTCCGCAGGGTCACTCGAGGCTTACATGGTTGTTAACTTCAGGCTCTGTGAGATTAGGCGAAGTGCTCGATTTAATAAGCAACTAATTTGTTTATAATTAAATACTAGTAAATTAAATTAACTGGTATTTATTATGCCCGCTGGCTCCGTGAGGAAACAAGGCATGTGGAACTGGAGATGATAATAATTGATACATAACAAGGGACATAAAATAATGTTAATAATTGATCGGAAATGTTTTTGCTAGCTTGAAATCTACACTAATAAATATACTACAAATGCTTTTTGGTACATGTAATAATAGGTACATGGATAATGGAGGCTTCATATAGTTTTAGACGAATTAGAAGATTATTAATTAATTAATTAATTAATAGAGACAACTGAGACGCATGGATAATGGGAGTTTTATCTTGTTAACAAGGTGCTCCTCCGACTGGATTTGGCATTCAAAGCAGACCAATTTATAGGTTTGCATTATTTAAAAATAGACAAGCAGTGCATGATACAGATCATATTTGTCTGGATCATAAGAAACAAAAGAGCGAGTTTGGTGCTCGATGGCACCTGTTTGTCTTTTTATTTTATTCATTTTATACTCGTATTTATTTTTCGTTATTTCATTCAAATATCTTGAATTTCATGTTTTTCCCTTCTTAAAAAAAAAAACCTCTCCCATTAACTACTTTTACAATGAGACAAATTAAATATACATAACAATACTAATAGATTAGTGACATAACGATAACAAGCCTCACTTCTCTTGGAAAGTAAGAAGTTCGAACCTCTGTAGAGATACAAAAACGTGTGTGATTACCAATTAAAATATATATATATATAGATAGATAGATGACAACCATAACCAATATGATGTTAGCATGTATTTGGCCAGGAGACTGACGATCCTGTTGCATGTGGTTGCATAGGTGTTTTTTTTATTTTATAGGTAAGGCGTGCATGGCAAACAAAAATACAGACACCCTCTATTGTCCCCGACTTCCCATACGAGAGGAGGAGAAGGATAAATTTTTTTTTTTTTTTTTTTTTCTTTTTTTGGTCTGGAAGTAGAAGAATATAAGAACAGAAATAAAATAAAATAAATAAATAAAGGTAATAAACAGGGGTGAGGCGTATAGAAAAAAGGATAAGTATAGGAGCACAAGAAGAAGAACTATGATACATGATTTACTTTTAAAATGTTGGAGGTACCCTTGCATTAATAAAAGAAAAATAGACACAAACTATCAATTTAAATCTAAATTATGACATCCAAATTATTCTTTTTATCATATTCTATACAGAATCTAAATTTAAAGTGGGAACTTTGACAGCTTCCTCACCCCGTTGACTAAGATGAAGCCAAGTGGGACCTCGGACAAACTTTACATTGTTTACTTTCTATCTTGTTTCTTATCCATCTATCAATTCATTTAAAATAAGTGGACTGTCAGTAATTTGTAGTATACAATTTTCGGAATCTACTTCAGTTTAGAATAGCAACGCTAACAAAAAAAATAAACAAAGCAAGGTTCAAAATTCAAATGATCACCAAAGAAATAACACAATGTGAGACCATTAAAGTAATAAAGAATATAAACTGATTTCAAATCTCTCTCGTTAAAGTTTGTATCAAGGTAAAGATCACATTGGACAAACATTATACTCAAAAGGTTCAGACAGGTTTGAAGATGTAATATATTCAATCTGTTGGAATCGAAACCAAACCAGTATGAAATCCTGACTTTGAGATAAAATGTAAAAACCTAGGCCCTAATGATCTAACACCACTCTAGCTAGGTTTAAGTATAAAGGTCTGCAGAGAATGGGATGACCCTCCTATGGTTCTAATCCTCAATCCATGCTTCGCTGCCCGACAAAATGGAACATTCAATGGCAGGAAGTTCAACCAAAGAAATGGTGAAGAAGTTCATCATCTATCTTGACATATTTGCTTCATTTAAAAATAATCACTGTTCTCATAAACATTCCTCAAACTAGCTGTGGACAATTTCTTTTCCCCAAACTATAGTATCAATGAACTATCATATATCTTATTCTATAAAGTATAATAGAAGCCGTCGTCACTCAAGGAACTCTCCAAGCTCAATCAGCCCTTAACTAGATCCTCTAACAGGTTTTAGCGTTGAACGGTTTAACCATTTCAACTTCTCTTTTCTTTCATCTACCAAGGAACCAAAAGAAGTACAGGTCAGAGTTTGGCTTACTGATGATGTCATTCTAGGATAAGCAATAGAAACCTTGTTATCTCTAGTTAACCAGTCTACTACACTCAAAGGTTTTGAGTAGAAGAGCTTTATTAGAGTATACTTATGATCACCCTGAATGACGGCATAGCTCAAACGAATGGCTAATCCCCCCAACATTGAAGTTGCCGATCACATCTTATTCCTCCTCTCGTTTTAGAAACTTTCAATTAAGAAGCAATCATGATAAGAGTCTGAATTGACTGTCAATAAGTGAAGATAGTTCAGATGAACATGTGTATTCATTTATGAAGAAGACTTGCCAAATGTTAAATAACATAATTGATCAAAGATGTAACAGAACAGGAAATAAAACAGACTTTATTGCTAAACAGAAAAGTATTCGATAACAGAGGAATTTCAGAAAAACAACCAACCACTCAATACTATTCATGGAACAATAAAATAGAATTAAGACTCCAATAGCAGCATGTTTTTGCTTCTCCTTTTTTTCACTTTCCTGAATCCACCAAACATAAGGGGTTAAGGTCTTGAAAACACACACAGTTACAACAAGCAAAACTCACCTTTACATAGGATTAACTAAGAAACACAAAACTAATTTCCTAAACAAGAGATTCTTGAATGTAGCTGACAAACTTAGTACCAAGTATGCCAACCATGGATGGCAACCCAATTCTTATATTTCTAGCGGACATAAATGGTGCTTGCCAGCATTATTCGCCTCTACCTGCAAGCAGGAAATTTAGCAAACTGTTGCATCCACAAACATCACCACCACCAATAATAAATCTCCCTCACAAAGTAAGATGACGTAGCCACTTCGCAAACTACAAATGAACTTAGCAACCACTAAGAAATTCATATCGACCCATGAATAAGAACACCATCATGACTGCAACCGTTGACAACCTTAGGAGGAACATTGTTACCACTAAGAGCGACATCATGATCAATATCCGCCACCAGTAGCCGACAAGGGGAAATAGACTGATACCCACAACCTAATTACAAGCAAAGAAGTCCAAGCAAGTGAAGGACACTGGAATGGACCTCACCCTTTAACACTAATTTCTCTGATAAGCATAACTCAATCGGAAATATGATCATGATACCCCTGCATCATAAGAGGAAATTTGCAATTTTATGTAAACCCAATACTAATTACCACCACCAACAATATTAACAACTAAAAATCCACAATAAGTAAGTTACTCCAAGATCAGATTTTCAATTTTTCACAAGATCCAAAAGCTGAATTGATAGAGAAGGTAAAAGGAAGACAAGATTTACCCAAATTCAATCATCCCCGGTTGGAAATAGAGTGAGAGCTCTCCTCCCATTAGCTTCAGTTGCCGATTCCAAGTCCTCTACGTATGCCGGTAGTGGACTATGAACTGGTGCCCCAATTCGGTGAACTGGCTGCGACTGCCTTGACAGAAATGGATGCTCAAACTGCCCATTTGGTGGTGACCCAAAATGTCCCACCTGCCTATACTGCGGCTGCAGCTGGGGATGTACAGACACAGCCGCTGCCATCTGCTGCTGTTGGTGGTGGTGCTGCAGCGCTGCCACCGGCACAAACGGATGCAAAAAATGTGCCGGCACAGGTGAGCTGGCGAACAAATGATCCATAGAGGGATCTCCTGTGCCTGTCAATCCTCCACCACCACCACCACCTCCTCCACCTCCACCCCCGGAATGCCCCTGCATACGCTTCAAGTAAAGCCGGTACTTTTGAAGATGACTGGCCACATTCTCACGCGTTAACCCGTCAACACTCATGAGCTGCATTATGGTTTTGGGGACTGCGTTCTTGATTCCCAAATGGGCCACAGCGTCCACAAACCTCTTGTGGAGCTGTGGCGTCCAGACGAGCCGGGGCCGCTTGAGGGTTCGAGCCGGCTCGTCACCTACGGCCCCGCCTCCTAAATCGCCAGAATCGAATTCCGAGGAATTGGGCCGGGAAGAAGGGGTCTGAACCGGTGGTTGTGGTGGCGGCGGCGGCTGTGGTGGGGATTGTGGGCGGTTGGGGTTTCGGATGTCGAAGGCGACAGCTAGATCAGGGGTAATTAGGGTTTGGTACAAGGGCATGAGTTCTTCAGGGGATGGAAGTTCTTCTTCCCACCTTGAGAACCAATTAGAGTCGTCTTCTCTCATTTTTGATCAAACTCAACTGGAGAGGTACTTTTTGCTGAGGCAGTAGAAGATTTGTGGGGTTTGTAATTGAAAAATACGAGAAGCAAAGAGTGTACAAGTCAGTCAATGATAAAGAATTGTGGAAGAAGAGAATGAATCTAAGGACGGAAGTTTGTACATGGGGTTGTTTCTCTTACTCTCTCTCTCTAGAACGAATGATTGTGGAGAGAGAGAAGGAAGAGGAGGAAGGGCGGAGGAATTGGGTGGAAGTGGTGGAGGGGTGATCGAGGTGGATCTTGTGTTCTTTTTGAGCATTTAGTATGGGTTACTGTTGATTGATGATGATGCATTTATGCTCTTTTGTTATGATTTTTGTGGGGTTGTATTTTTCCGGGATTTGTGGGTCTCTTATACTTCACAGCATGCACTATGTTATTAACATTTTTTTTATATTTATTTTCACACATTTCTTTGATTTATAGAGTGTATCTCTCTGCTTTTCTTTTTTCCAGTGTTCCTCTATGGGGCGCGTGCACATCACCCTCTATTGCATTGGACTATAAATACGCTCCCAATTTTCAAAATTAGTTTAAACAATTATGAGACGTTCTCATTATCCTAACCCTTATGAACTTGTGCTGATCTTAATACCATTTGTTATGACAAGCTGCTTATATTTCTGTCTTGAAATCATCGTTCACAAGACGTTCTGACACCCACAAGGATTTTTATTTTACACAATTACATTTACATATTGACCTGATTTTTATGAGTGTTTCGTTTTTTACGTTTTTTTATTCACATATTCTCCTTGACCTGATCTTTATAAGTATCTCGTTTCTTACTTTTTTTTTTTTTTTCAAGAATGGCTCTGATATCATCTATCGTAACTCATCTCGTTGTGTAAATATTATTTATTTTACTCATAATTTTTAAAACACGTCTATATAATTAGGATAGTCGTTGTCAAGTGAAAGTTATTGGCAAATGTTATAGGAATTAACAAAAATTGAAAATGCACACTTTGGTGTTTGGTCACTTGGTGACTATTTTTTTTATTGTTATATTTTTTAAAACTTTTCACTTGATGTGAGAACAAATGGAATTGGTGAATTGTGTTTGTTTCATAGTAAGAATTGTAGTGTAACGATATTTTCTTGCCGTTCAAAGGAGAAAATTAAGGGCATGAATTTATGCAAAAGTAATAGCGAATTTCTTGCCAATATTTAAAAATAAACCATAAAATGAAAAATGTGTCTATTACTAGGTGTGATAGTGGATTACTATATTATTGGAAAGGAAGTTTCTTTTGCTTCACAAAGAATATAAGTGAGTTTGAAAGTTCTTTCACGATAATGATAATCTTTTACAATAGCAAAACACAAAAAGTTTCTTTTGCTTATCAAAGAATATAAGTGAGTTTGAAAGTTCTTTTACGATAATGATAATCTTTTACAATAGCGAAACACAAAAGGCAGATATATATATATATATATATATATATATATATATATATATATATATAAAATAAAAAAACTGGAAAAGACGTAACATTTTTCAAAAAAACAATTTTCATAAAGATGTCAATCAAACAAATGTTTGTAATATTATCTGATTTTTCAGTTATTTGCGAATAAAAAAATATTTTGCAGAAAATTAAACCAAATAAGCCATTAGTTTTTTCTTTGATTTTCAGATTCTAAACTTTGAAAGGTTTATTGTGACATTTATAAGGTCGCTTATTAATTATTATACGCTTATTCTTAAGCAAAGGGTAGATTGATTGCCTTCACATAGGTTGATGCTTTACGGTGGCCGGTGCATCTATGGAAAATTAGTGAAGAAACCAAAAAAGGGACAAAAATTCTGCACTTTTCCCCCTATTGCCTCTTATTCTGCACTTTCAAAGATGAAGAGGTATTGAGGGGCGGAGTCGGTACATGCCCAGGAAGCACGTGCCCTCGGCCTGGCCCCGCTTATTATAATACATATATTAAATTTATGTATTTTTATATATATATGTGAAAAAATTCATATTATACTCCCTCTTAAATTTTTATTTTTTAAAATTATCTCTTAAATTTTGTATTTCTTTTCTTTGTTATTCTTTAAATTCGTTTCATTTCCTTAAAAAAGTCAAATTTTTCTTAAAACTTTTGTTAATTATTTATCTTTTTTAAACTACTCATTGATTGATATATTATTATTGATATATTATTTTGAGTAATTTTTCTTCTTTGTCTCTTGATTTGAAGAATCTACAAGTTTGAGTGACAGCTGTGAATTTGTGACATAGATAAACAACAACATTTTCGATTTCTCCTGTAACTCCACAAGTATGGTTCAAGAATCTATGAAAATAGTGCTTATTGAGATGATTATTTCTTAAAGATAGTTGAAACATCTCTTACATACAAACGGACGATAATAATTTCCAAATTCAATCCAGCCCATATATCAAATTTGTAATTTCATGAAGATTTGAAGTTCTCTTCATGAAACCCTGCATTCATTACCATCCGATCAACTCAAAATTATACGAGTAATGCTCAAACTCAAGCTCACCGGTTAGAAAACGCTTCTTTCAAAAATTTTTGTAAAGCTCTCTCACTTAATTCTTCTTTATTATTATTTTTTTTTGGTTTTGAGTGAGTGTTGTGAGCTTTGTAGGACTACTAATTTATACTAGTTTAGAGAAGATATATTCAACTTAATTTAACTTAACATTGATGAACTTAATCTTGATGTATAAATAAATACCAAGTTAAATGAGCTAACATTATAGCATATACAGTTTAGGACTACTATTTATAAATCTGTTGGGCAGCCTCAAACTATTTTAACAGAACAATGGTGCATACAGTTTAGTACTTCTGCACTTGACCAAATATTTGGACTATTGCTTTGTGCACTGAGTAAAATGCTCAGACCATCAGGTATGTCCAAATCGGATCAAAATCCTCTCCTACATAACAATAGTCTTATCCCCTTACGGTTCCCAAAATGTTGTGATGTGGGGTTGAACATCACAACATTTTTGTAAGGTACATCACTAAGTGGACGGGACGCGACGGGACGCGACGGGACACTGTTTCACAGGAGAGGATTTTAATCCGTCCAAACCATGAGACCAGCCCCTTTTTGTGATAATAATGTACTACATAAACCCTCAATATACCTTTGAAATGTACTAGACATCTTGCAAACTAGCCACGGCCAAAACTCTTATATCCTTTCTTATTTAGCTAATCTATAATCATAAGTAAGAAAAAGACTGCTCAATGGTGAACAAGAAATTCAAGACTAATGACACAGCATCCACAAAAATTAGTTATTTATTTTTCCTTCTTGTTGCGCTTCTACTTTATGTATCTTTATGTTTATAACCAACAAAAACTCAATCCATCCTGTTTAATGTTTGTATACTTCAAATTCAGAGACATTTCAGAATAGGTTACGAAAGCAGAATTGCACAGAAGTGGTAAAAAGAAGAGTGGTATTTGCAAGGACAAAGGAGTTTGATTTTGGAAATTGGGGAACAAAAGGACAATGGGAGCAATTTAAACATATAAAGGATGCATGAATGGGGAACAGATGGTAATTCAACATTTCTTCTGTTTATTCTATGTTTCTCTTCTCCATGAACTGAACAAATTCCAGCCATTCACAAAGCAAATGTAGCTGAAACACGCATCGTGCTTTCAGACAATACTGGTTTCCTGCCCAGTTCTGGATAACCTATCTTTATAAAATTAGCTAGCTTTTCTTTGTTCATGCTAGACAACAAGAGGGCCCTGAGTCCCTGACAATTACAATGTGTTTGGATAAATAGAAGCGAAAGGAAAGGATATTAACTGACCTATTAGGCAGATGGCCTAAAATTTCTCAAATTAACAAAATCAATATGTTTGCAAATCTGTCCTAGTTATTCAGTATTCCATGCCCTTCTATACCCTTGTTTGTTAGATCTTCTATTCTTCCTAGAATCTGACCTATTTTCTCATTCAAATCTGAATAAGGAAAAAAATTGCATTTGCTTTCATAGGTAAACAACTAAAATGATAACTATTTTGTCTTTAAATCATCCATAGGAGCCCTAGGTGGAATAATTACAATCATGGAGATGGTAGGTGTATCCATCTTTGTCCCATTTCTGCATTTTCCTCCAAAATTTCTGGACCTTGCAGACATAATAACTGATACAATATTTTGCTAGTCAAGACGATGTTCTAGCTCAATTATCTTGTAGAACATGCAAAAATCAAACAAAATAACATAAAATAAATGAAATGAATACTAACCTTGACCTCTTTAATTTGACAGAAAAAACTACACTTGGAAAGAATCAAGCATGGCTTTTAGAGTTTTCTGGGACGACTGCCACTGCTTGTCACTTGCGCTTACCACAAATAAAACAACAGTATTTCCCTTTGCAGTTGCCTTTGCCAAATTGTGTGCACCCGTCAGAGCAAACGGAGTCTCAAGAACATATTTGTAATACTGCAAACAGCGTAATGAGAAGAATTAAAATAATTATTAATAAAGCAAGTTGCTCTTTACTTCACTTTCTTCAACATAGAGACGGTGTAGCAAAGCAGATTTGGTGCAGAGTGCAGATATTAACGTTTCTCTATGGACTTGAAGACGTATAGAAAAACAGCCAAACCCAAACTAATACGAAGTAGGTTTTATACATTATCACTAATTTTGACCTGTATTTTTGACAGACAAGCGGACATACACATCAAGAACAGTGGAGTGACTTCATACTCCGACATTTAAAATAAATCAGTATAGTAAACCATATTGGTTCACCCAAAATTGCAGAAAAACCCAGGTATTTTTGTCATAGAGATGGTTTTGGGACGTACACTTGAGCTACAAATTCTTTTATTGTTTCTTTTTCTTTTTCCTTGTGGGCGTGTCAAAAGCTCTTATTACCATAACATACTGAATGAACCATTTGCTACATCCATTTCCTACTAGTACTTACTCAAGTTAATGCTCTTATTACACTTTATTTGCAACCTTTTGGGATGGCATAGTGCAAAAAGTTTCGTGCATAACTGCAGTATTTAACTTACTTTCAGGGACAGTGCTCTTGCATTCTTTTTAATACATACTTTGCACATTTCAAAACCATGATAATTAATCTCTGCTGGATCAAGATGTCCCCATATCCCAACACAATAAATGCTGACAAACCAAAATCTATTTGTCTGTTTTTTTGCTATGTGGCACTGAAGGACCATACAGAAGTTAGATTGAGTTACTTGCGGTTTCATTGTAATTTTTACCAAGAGAAAGGTAAAAATTAGAAGAAAGCAAACCCAAAAATAAATGAAAATAAAAAATTGAAAACATATGACGAATGTAAGAGTAGAAAACTTGTACCGTTTGATCACCAAGCTTCTCAACTGAAGTTTCAAGGAGTTCATCTGGGTCTAATGTGTTCCCGGTGACAAAAGGACCAAGAGAAGCAATGAGCTTCTCAGGAGTCCCAATCTCTTCAATTGTTGCATTGGGTTTGTTAGTCAAACGTATCAAAGGAGAAGCCACCACCTGAATTTTTCCCTGGCTTTCATCTTCAAATTTTACTTCCACCCAAGGCTCTGCACACTTGGGTTGGCAGTAATTGCCAGACAGTATGTTGGCCACTCGAGTCTGTTTCCAAGTTGGGGGAATGATGAACTGGTAAGGCTGCACATTTCCTGCAAGCAACTAAACCACAAGTTTCATTAACATATAGAGAGGAGGCAAATCTTCCCCTTCTCCTATCATTACACTCTATAAGAGCCATGTCACTTTCCATTACTGATTCAAACTATTGACCATCATTAGACATTACCCAACTATCTTAATTGGTTTTCTCATTTTATCTCTAATAGGTGTTGCTCTGATCATCTCAAGAATGTGTTTCACTTCTATTTTTATCATTTTTGTCTTATGACACATCCGTCTCAACATTCGCATTCTTGCAACTCTCGTTTTATGAATATGTTGTTTCGTAGCCACCCAACAAAGTATGGACGGTCTAATTGCTAAGTTATAAAATAAAATGCTTGATGCCTCCTCCATTTAACTCATGCTTGAATTATATTTTTAATGCAATCTTCAACTTCTTCTTCATAATCAAGCTTTATTAACAAAAATGCACTTTATCAATCTCTACTATATCCCTATTCTGCTTCCAGTTGAAAATGTTCTATTTTGAAATTCGGATCTATAACACCCAGGGAAAAAAACAAAAAACAAAAAAAATGGCATCTTGAAGGTGTATATATTAGGACCTGATGGAACCAAACTCCATACACGATCTATACGAATTTTTTCTGATGACAGATAAAACTAAAAAGTGAGGTTGGGTAGCCCAGTAGGAAGAGGCACTCCCCTGGGTTGTGAAGGAGCCCAGGTTCGACTCACCCCATCCTCCCCCTCCTTGCCAGGTAAAAATAAATAAATCATGAGCACTGTTATCATAGCATTTCCCAGAATAAAATGCTTATTTTTTTTGGCTAAGTATCTAAAGTCTATATTGAAATGAATGACTTTAGCACTATGGAAATCAGCAAACAGTACAGCTGCCCATCTGTGATCCAACAACCAGAACTCAGATGCCATTCCCTTTAAATTGATTCAATTTTTATATTCCAATTTCTAATCACTGTTTCATCCAGCACTTCATTTAAATGACTAAGAATACTTATTCTTCACTTCAGATTTGTATAACTGTGGAAACACCAAAAACCACAATAATCGATTAAGTGGAGAATACCCATGAAAATATGTTGATAAAACACTCAAATAAACCATGACAATTAGTCTTGACTTCAATGAATCAAAATGTGGCCACTTTTAAATTTAGTAAATTTAACAATGGAAAACTGTCAAGAAATAGACATAAACAATGGACGAGAGAAAAGGGTTATGATATATAAATAGGTAAATTAAGCAAAGTGCGAGAAAGTGGTATAAATTACCTGCGCGAAGAGCGGGAGTGTCTTTGGGAGAGGCTTTGAAGAAGACGAAAGAAGGGTCTGAAGGGGAGGGCGGGAGGTAGGAGCCTACTTCGACCTCTCGAGCTTGTGAAGGAGGAGGAGGAAGAACAAGTTGGTCTGTGAATGAAATCAATGGGAGTAGAGACATTCCTTTGAAGAATTCTCTTCTTCTGATGATACTGATAGTGGGTAATTGCCTGAGATTGATATGGGTTTTGAGGGAAGAAGCTAATTGGGTTTTTGGAGTTGAAGATGGTGTTGAGGTTGAGAAAATGGAGGACGGTGTTGTCACACAAGGAGTCGCCATTAGAGAGAGAAAGAGAGAGAGAGAGAGAGAGGGGTTGGGCTCCCGCTTCTATCCGTTTTAGATGAGGTATCGGATCTCAGCATAAAACACTGGATTTTAGCAATTAGCTGCAAAGTGATTTTTTTTTTTTTTCTACGGTGCCAATTTTTTTTTTTGGGTTTTACTTCATAAACAACAGGGTAAAGCGTTAAAAACTCCTTGAAGTATTGCCCATACAGCAGAAAACCCCTTAATTTACTAATTTGACATATAACTCTCCTGAACTAACTAATTGGGTGCAATTATTCCCGTCCAGTGATAAGCCGGTTGAATTTGAGCATGAAGAAGCACACACGGGTTACATGACAACCTAAATTTCTTTAAATGACCATATAACCCTTTACATTTATACTCAAAACCACTTAAAACACCCAAACACTCCCTTATGCTAAATGAACAATGTTTATTTAGCATAAGGGAGTGATATATATATATATATATATATATGTTTTATTGACGATGAACAGTGTTTATTTAGCATAAGGGAGTGTTTGGGTGTTTTATATATATATATATGTGTGTATATATAGTTATAATCACTGTTCATCTTTTTCATAGTGTCCATTTCAATATCCATCATAATCGTCATGGCCATTCGCGTCACAATCGAAACCAACTCCTCCACCATCCTCGCCATCCCCTCCGATGATACCAGCACCACTGTCCCCACACTTACACCTTCGACACATGGAAAACCACTGTCGCCTTGGCCGGATCATTCAAGAACAGCTCGTCGGTGGAGCAAGAAATCATCGCGATCCAGCTCACCGGAGTAAAACCAGTAGAGAGAGGAAATCGAAGGTCGGCGGCGGCGGTAGCGAAGCACTGCGGCGGCTTCCCCCTCCAAAAACTAACCCATCGCTCCTTCCCGGAATCGACCCAGCACTGGTCCAGCCTGCGTTCCTCTCCTCTTCTTAACGACAACAGCTTTGCCCAAATCAGCCTTCGCTCCTTCCCGATGCTTGACAGTGGCAGGGATTGGCTCAATTGATGGTGTCAGCTGCGATAGAGGCGGCGGTGAGATCGGAACTGGGAGGTTGCCGGATGAGGTGAAGCTCGACGCTGACTTGTGGCAGTGCTCAAAACATGGACGGTGGTGTGCTCGGCCCATGGAGATGGCTGGTTCTAGAAGGCAGCGAATTAGCGACTAAAGAAGTCACGATTCCGGTGATAGGCTATTATGAAGAAGCTCGACCGTGATTGGGTTTGATGGCGGGCGACGGGACTGAAAGGCTGCGACTTTGGCTTCGGATGATGGCCATTGGATTGGGGTTGGCTTTGACATCGACGGAGAGCTCTGTAATGTTTATATATATATATATATATTAAAGTTAAAAGATTTTTTTTCAAAAGTTGGTGGGCCCCACCAATAAATTAAAACATAACAAAGACCATAAGGCCATTTCTCAGACTCGTGGGTTTTCTATCTCTCTGCTACATCACTGCTTTTGGCATTTTTATTTTTATTTTTATTGCAATTGCAAGCTTGATCTAGCTCTATCCCTTTGAAATTTGGTAGAACCTTGTGAAGCAAAGTCGGAGAGCTCGTCGAGGCCTTCAATTTGATAGGAGCCAATCATCATTTGGTGCACTCTAGGGAGTTCGAAATTCTAGGGTTCTTGGGCTCAAAATTGGGGGTTTTACATCTAAGTGAGGTAGGGGTGTTCTAATTCTTGTATTTTTGTGAGTTTCTAGCTTAAAGTGATGCCTAACATGTTCAATTAGTGCTAATTCTTGCAAAGATTTGTTTAGAATAATAAGCATGGAATGTATGTGACTATTTGTTAATTGGTTTGAGGTGATTTAGCATGCTTACATGTTTATATGAAATTGAGTTTATATTTTATGTGTTAGTTATGCAAAGTTAATATTAAATGAGAGCTCCATCATGTATTTTATAAATTTTTCTTATATAGTATGTGTGAAAGTTATATGGTTGAGCTGATCGTTCTGTCAAAATTCCAAAGGGTATAATTGAAGATGTGATAGTGAAAATAGTTGATTTCTGTTACCCGGTTGATTTCATTGTTCTAGATACCCAACCTACCCAAGGTACGCAAATTCCTATCATCTTAGGTCGACCATTATTAGCTACCGCTAATGCTGTGATTAATTGTCGAAATGGTAATATGACTTTAACCTTTGGGAACATGAAATTGGAAGTCAATGTGTTTAAATTGATGAAACAACCCCCTGACTCAGATTCCATTGAAGAAATTTGTCTCATTGAGTCATTAACTGCTCACACCTTTGAGCACTCTTACCCTGAGGATCCACTCCAACAGTGTTTAGCACATTTTTGTGATGAGTTTGATGCGGATAGTTATATTGGTGAGGTCAATGCTTTACTCGATTCCACTCCAATCTTTGAACCACCAAAGATTAGGTTTGAACCATTATCTGTTCCCGCTACCACTACTCTCAAAACTAAGAAAAAGCCACCCAAGGTTGAACTAAAGCCTCTACCTGAGACTTTAAAGTACTCTTACCTAGGTGAGTCCGACACTTTTCCCGTGGTAATTGCTTCAGACTTAACTACCCATCAGGAAACCAAACTTCTTAAGGTTCTTAGGGAAAATCGTGCGCGGCATTAGTCCTTTAGTGGTTCAACATCGTATTCATTTAGATAATGATGCAAAAACCTATAGGCAGCCCCAGAGAAGACTTAACCCTCATTTAAAGGAAGTTGTTCGTGCTGAAATTATCAAACTTCTTGATGATGGTGTCATCTATCCCATTTATGATATTCAGTGGGTAAGCCCTATTCATGTTGTCCCAAAAAAATCAGGCATCACTGTCGTATCTAATAGCCATAATGAATTGGTTCCTACTCGTGTCCAAACTGGATGACAAGTTTGCATTGATTATCGAAAGCTCAATACTGTCACTCGAAAGGATCATTTCCCTCTGCCTTTCATTGATCAAATGTTAGAAAGATTAGCTGGTCAATCCTTTTATTGCTTCTTAGATGGTTACTCTAGGTATCATCAAATCCCTATCCACGTTGATGACCAAGATAAGACCACTTTCACCTGTCCATTTTGTGATACCCCTCGAATCTAGAGCCACGGGTGATCAAGTCCGAGCACAGAATACAAGGGATATCAAACAATTAATATTTAAACAAGCATTGGAATACAAGATGAATTAAAAATAAACAGATAAGCTGAAAGGAAAACTAAATAATAAATTCTTATTTAAAAATCCTCAAATAAATAATGATTAAAATTCCATAATAAAATCCTCCAATCTTCTGATACCAGTAATTAATTAAACTACAACTCGGGAATCCATACTGTGAACCCCTAATAATATCCTAACTGACATAACTGAATCGAAAAAATAATAAGTTACTAATGAAGAAGAGTCCTACGTAGAGTCGGAAGAATGAATGGCTGTCTCTGCTCGGCACGAACAATCTCTAAGACTGGAACTGACGAACACCTGAAAAATAATGGTGGGTCAGGCCCACATACAAGTTCTAATCTACTACATCCCAAACAGAGACCCGATACACGTACACATCCTAATTAATTCAACAATAACTAAATAGTCCATATATAGATATATACACACACTAAAGGAACCTCACTAGACTATAGAGTTGTCTCAACCTGAATAGTAGGCAACATGCAAAACGCACATATAGTGGGCATGAGTACCTAGACCTACCAGGGTACACAACTACGCTATATCTAGCTACACATCCCTGGCAATATACGCACCCTAACCACTGATCCTGAGACTCAAGCTCATATCATGGTGTATAATTATATATTTAAAATCCGTCCTATCCAACCATCAAAAATAAACTATCCAATTATTATTTCAATACTATGTCATCCAACTATTCCGTTGACCTGACACGAATAAGTAGGACTTAACACAATGGTTAATCCGTTCCCTTATTAAAAATAGGTAGGACTTAACTCGTAAGTTAATCCGTCCCTAATATGCCCCATCCCATAATGGTGCATTAATCCATAACATATCCAAATAACAGTTTCCAACCCAAGGATAATGTAAATATATATATATTTTTACATCTAATAAACCAAATAAATATGATATAAATCTTATACACGTCCTTTGCATTTATTTCAGCAAAAATATCAATTCTAATTAGCATGCATTTAATTTACATCACAAGAATTTAACATGCATCTCAATTAAATTGTACATCCCCATGTACTCATTAAATTAATTTAAATCTAAACAATTGATTAAACTAATTTAATCCAACAATATTTAATTAATTTATCCTTTCTAAAATTAATTAAATTCCATACTTAGCATGTACACTTAAAACATGCATTCCAACTCTTAATGAATCTAATTAAATTAAATAAATATTTAATTTAGATTCATCAATAAAAAATATATTAATTTAATATTATAACATTAATAAATATATACATATATATATATTTAAAAACTGTTTAATGCATAACTAATTATTATTATTATTTTCCATGAATACAAGATTTATTCCTACCCACCTAACCAAAAATTAAATTTCAATTAAAATTAATAAGCTAATGCATTATTAAAAGAAAACGAAATTTAAATTTACAAAGCAAACTCACGCGTCATTTAAAGGAGAACGAAATTTACACTAGAAAGCACACTGATGCATCATTATAAGAGAAGGAAATTTAAATTAGAAAAGTAAACTGCTGCATCATTATTTAAAGCCTTTGACTTCATATCCCTTCCTTCTCGTTCGGCGTGCTTAGTTTATGCAAAACGAATTCTATTTGTGGTAACAAACTGATTCATTCTTTTAAGCCATTGTTTTTTTTTTTTTTTCGTTCCACATGTAAAGTTTATGAAAGAAATCAAGAAAAGAATCTAATTTCATTTTAGATGTAATAAACTGATTCATGCAAACAAATTCATGTTTAAAACAAATACTAATACTGACACCACCAACAAACCATACCCAGTTCTGTAAAGAGTTAAATTCATCACAAATTCATTACTAAAACACACGAACTGTAGCTTCCAAAGTAATCTAATCAATTTATTTAAAGAATCTAG